ATTGATAGACACAAATCATCATGAAATCTTCATCTGGTTGGTGGTTAAAAAAAACAAAATATGAAAACTATATGAAAAATATTATATAATTAGTCAATGAGAAGGATGACATCCCGTATATGAAATGGAAAAAAATGTTTGAAACCACCACGTTTTCCACGTTTTCGGACCGCATGCTGGCTCGGGTTTAGAGCGCAGCAGTAACGTCTCAAGTGATCGAAACAAGCACCTAATGGACCGCCTCGAGGAGCATGACGTCACACTGGTTGATCAGTGGCAAGCTTTTCAGAATGGCCGCGTCACGCACACACGGCGCACTCAGGTTGGCAGTGAGCCACTTCTCCACCTCAAACAACGCTCTCGAACTCCATGGCAAGGCCACTGACGGCAAGTAGGCCTGGAGGCATTCCGACCTCGGCTTGCACTGGGCCAGGGACACATCGACTTTGGCTTCCAACCACAACTTTTTAAGGAATTGCCTGAACCACTTCACCCTCTGCTTGAAGTGGTACTTCTCGGCGTCCAAATACTGTCTGGAAGCTGTGTCCACCCAATGACCATTGACTCGTAATGGCCCGGGGTTGCCCCAGGTGAGTTGGTAGTCAACGTACAGCTGTGTGAAAGAAACCCAAACTACCTCCGCAGTAGGATCTGTATCAAGTCGCTCCCAAAACCACTTTGTAGCACGTTGCAGGTGCGCAGTGCCAAACAATCTGCTGACAGCGGGCAGTGCCTCACCACGCCAAGGCCCCAACTCAAAAGCAACTGGAAAATCCCTGGTGGCCCGAGGGCTGGCAGCAGGAGCATCTTCGTGCTCAAGGCCTCCTCGGACATTTCTTCTCCCAATTGCAAGATGCAAATTTCGAACCTGTGTGCACAAAGCGTCTGCAGCAAAAGTTGCCTGAACATGTTTCTCCCAAAAGTCCCAAAACTGTGAAGGACGTGACTGATTCGCACACCTAGCCGCTCGGTCTGCCATGGCATTGTAAAAGCACCTCCAAGCTTCTTTTTGAGATCTCGCCGCTCGCAATTGTTGATGCGCCGGCACCTTGTACACCCTCACCTGTTGTCTGCCCAAAACTTCAACCGATCGTAGCACCCATTGCCAGAGATCTGAATTCGTTTTGTTAACAGAAACCTTGCAGTGACCTTTAAGGAGTTGATTCAACCTGGTAACCACACCCAAACAGTCAGACCACAATCGGATAGGGGCACGCGCACACGCAGCACAATGCAATGAAAACGCAATGGCATACAACTCAGCACGGTAGGCAGTTTGACAGATGCCAGGCAAGTAGGAAGCTCCAAGGACAGGAGCCCCTTGCACAGTCCAATTAGGGCCAAAGGAAGGGGCACACACAGCAGACCACGCCGCAAGACGGTAGTAAGGAGACGACGGAGCTATGCAGGAGCCATCAGTGAAAACATCATTCCATTGGCCTGGTCGAAGTCCACAGGCTGGGTCAGGCGGTGCAGATGGAAGTTGCCCCAGCAACGTAATCCAGTCATGCCACGTAACAGGCAACAGCGCCCAGCCTCGGAGGGCAAGAGCCGGCGGCAGGGCCACGGCATCCCGGAGGTCTTGGTGTTGTGGACACTCCCAAAACCGGTGGTGAAGCGTGTCAGTTTGGCCACACCACCTGCAAGCATCAGATTGCTCAGTCCACTTGGCCTTATAACTCTCAGTGTAGAGCCCGCCGGAAAGTCCATGGCGGTATAGGGCTTGGTCATCAGCTGGCATGCCCGCCAGTGCTTTGCGAGTGGCAAACGTGTCGACTTGCCACAACCCTCCAAACTCAGCCCTGTGCGAAACACGCTGGGCCACAACCCTGTGCCATGCCCATTGGAGGCGGAGCTCAACTTCAGCATAATTGTGATCATGAAGACTGAACCGTCCAAAACTATCCAAGACCGTCCCATCCCTGTCAACTTGGATTCCAACCTGACGGAGCCTGCTGGCAACGATGGACGCAAGAGAGTTGGGGGGTAAGTCCAGTTCCCCAAGAGACACCAAGGCAACAGCCGAAGTCCAGAAGGTAGCATCACACTGTTGTCGAACCGCCCGACAAGTCCACAACAAGCCAACCAGTTGAGGGTCAACCAATGACTCAATCAAACCAAGCACAACATGGCTGTTCGTGCCAGGGCGTTGACATCCAAGGGCACTGATCGCTCGGCGACGCAAATCAGTCCAAACACTGTCGCCAACTGGGGCACTGGACACCCCGTGCAAACCCCGAGGCCAAGCTACAGCACGCAGGACATGCACCTTGGTATGGTATTTGGCTTTGCTAGCCTTCAGCTTTCCCCAGAAATCTTCAAGCTCAGCAAGGCGCTGGGTCAAGGTATGGTTGGTGTGCTGGCGAGATATACCCAGGTGCCCACCTAACTCCCTGGCTTGGTGAAGGACACGGATACCACTCGCTCGAAGCTGAGCTCGGGTTCGGCTGTCAGTGGCCCAACCGAAAGTCTTGCGGCGATCAACTGTCAGGTCCAAGAGACCAGCATATCCCTCCACCAGTTCAAGTTGTTTCACAGCAAAATTGGTATCCCAGGCATCCACATAAGACAAAGACTGCACGGCAGGAGCTTGATGTTTCAGCCACAGGGCAAAAAGGTGGTCAATCAACAACATGCCATAGACGCTAAGTCCACAACCCTCCGCAAGTCCAGTGGAGGTGGCAAACCCAGAGGAGAAAGACTCTCGCACTTTGAAGTGCCGGCACATGCTGGACAAAGCCCCAGCCCAGGCTGTGGTGACCTGGTGTGGGGTGCCAACCAAAACAGCAAGACACAGGGCTGGGTATCGGGGAATGCAGTTGAAACATTTCTCAATGTCGGCTGACAGGCCGGACAAGCTAACCCCGGAACTGTAGGCTTGTTCAACCTGCAACATCACATGATGCCAAAGGTCTGCAGCTTGTCTTCCTGGTCTATTACCATACACTCCATCATCGGCCCATTGATCCGCATGGAGGAGCAGATGTCGAGCATGAAGGCTGGACCATGCACGGTAAGCCAAACCAAAAACAGTTATGGGTCTGTAATCCCCTACCGCTGAAGCCGACTCAGTCTTGGCCAAAGAGTGCACTTTGCCGGCCAGCAATTGCCTCGGCCACATGCCATCTGTTTCGGCCCGAGTGAAGGCTGACAGCAGGCTTTGAAGGGTGGGTTCATCGGCAGCGATCCAATCAGCTCTGCTGACTCCATCAAGTCCAGTGGCAGCAGTCTTTTTCTTGCGGTGGAACTCCGCTTGCAGGGTAGGCACATCAACCTGGAGATGGGGAATGGTGTGGCACGGAAGAACCTGTTTGGCAAAATCCAACAACGTATTCCATCTATTGAAGGGCGTGCCATCATGTCGGCACCACCTCAATTTCCACTGTTCATGGAATGCTTCAAAAATTGCTGGCAAATCACCAAGGTGCTGAGTTTGTACCACCGGTTGCCCTGGCTGAGCATGTTCGGTATCAGTGACCCATACCTTGTCATGTTCACTATGGATGACTTCAGTTGGAACGCCATTCACCCAAAGCGGCAAGTCAGGCTTAAGGGCGGCTGGCGCGGTCAAAACCAATGCGCTCTCAGCTGTGTCAACCCATTCCACTTTGGCATGGACGGCATGGAGCAAGGATTCCACGGGCTCGGCAGGGCATCGGGCAACTTCTCTGAAGATGAGATGTTTATCCGAGGCATGTCGGTTGCTCCAGTGGGCAGTCTTGGCACGCAACAGTTTTGTCTCCAAAGACCTAACCTCAGCATACACAGCATCATAGATCTGATGGGCAACAACCGAGTCAGGACAAAACTGGGGAATTGTGGCAGGGTCCAAAGGACTGACATATTGACGAGACAACCACCATTCAGGGAAGCTGGGCCAAAATCCAGGTGCCCGCAGGATGGAATTCCAAAGACCAATGCCATGCAAGTTGTCCTGCCTGTCAATTGACCTGCCATCAATCCAGCGACAAAAGTTCTGGAGCCTGCGAAGCTGCTTGAACTGTTTGGCATGCATAGCAGAGTAGCCGAAGAATGCAGGTTGAACGTCACTACTTCTTCCCTGCCGGATGGGTGCTTGCTTGGTGCACTGTCGGAGGGGCTGCACCTGTTGGGCTCGGCCTTGCATGCTGGGCAGCCATTCATGGCCAACATCTTGTTTCGCAAGCTCTTCTTTTGCCTTCCAGAGAGACGAGTACTGCTCAGTGGGGTCCGCAGGCTCAGCAAAGGACACAGCGGTCTCCAAAGGCCTGACATGTGTCCATGGAACAGCTTTGGGGCAAGGCCACACAAATCTCTCAAGGCGACTAGACCGCCGGGAAAAATGGGCACGCAACACCGAGTGGTCAGCAAAAGTTTCATGGCAAATGTCAAGGCCGGTAAAGGCAAGAGCTAACTCTGGCGAGATCCACAAATGATCTTTCCTTGTGACCCCTTTGCACGTCAGTTGGATTGGGGCTCCGGTGCGGTAGTGGTGAAGGTCCTGGATTTCAACCCATCCCTTGGCTCGCAAGTCATTGGTGACATTAAGAGCTTCAGGTTCAAAGTTGAAGTCCCCTGCCAAAAACCTGGGGCCTGGTGTCATAGACAGGCGTTGGAGAGCAAAGTCGAGCATGGCTTCAGTGCGCTGGAGCGCCATGGGATGCGTCTTGCCCTCTGGGTAACCGTACACCACTGCGCCTACAGTCCAAGGTGCGGAAACATGGAATGCAGCAAACTGGATGCGGCCTGTCTGATACAAATCGTCTGGCCAGTTGGTGGCAACTGTGCGGCAGGCAACTGTTGAGGCAAAACCAACTCCGGCCCACATGCCGGCCTCACTTGCTTGGGAACGTGGTGCCATGGGGGCGCCTGTGAGAACATTTCGGTACTTGGAGTGCATCGACCTGAGACTGGTTTGGAGGTTTCTCCTCCCGGGTGCGGTCAGATGCGTCTCGCTCATGGTGAGCACATCAGCCTGAACTGTGTTGAGCATATGGAACTTGCCGTGTAATCCAGATGGATTACACACTCCCAACGTCCATTCCTCCACAGGGTCAGGTCCTGGGTGACGGGCTTCTCCCACTCGCAGCATCAACGCAAACATGATGAAAACAAAAATTGCCCGGAATGGCTTCAAAAGCCAAGGGAACACTCGGGACTTGGGCACCTGTCCGGAGCTCCCCCACCTTCATTCGGTCCTAGCCTTCTTTGAAAGGATCGTCTCCAGGCGAGACATTTGATCCGAAAGCATGCCCTGCATCTGCTTCGACTGCATGTCGAGTTGGACCATGACCTGTTGTTGCAGGGACTGTACCTGGGCAGTGCTTTGAACATGGTGGTCATTGACCGTCGACTCCAATGCCGTCTGACGGCTTGCCAATTGCTGGAACTGCTGCTCCAACTGCTGGAGCCGGTGGTCCTGGCTGTCCACTTCCATTTCCTGCTGCATTGGGAGCTTAGCCAAGATCGTCTGCTCAAGGCGGTCTTCCATTTCCTGCAAGGCACTGGCCGTGGATGGGGCTGCGGGTGGCAGTGGCATGGATGATGTAGCCTTGCGCCAAGGATCATGGGTCAACCATGGGTCTTGGGCAGCATCGGAGCTCATGCACAGCTTGACAGTTTGGGCAGGGCCGACCACCTGGTCTGAGTCGGGTGCAACTGGCTTGGTGTCAGGGCTGGTGATGACGATTTGACCGTGCGACAGCGACAAGACATTGGACGGAGGGGCATCGACGGCTTGGATGGCCCACATGAGACCACCGGGCACACCATGCAAAGGTTGCAACGGCCTGCACTCCCAACCACTGGCCTTCAGGATCTTTGCAAGGTTCTTCCTGTCACTTCCATATGGCCAAGGACCGCAATGGTAAGTCAAGCGGCTGCCTGGTGCCAAGTAAACAGCATCTGGTTTGACACTTGCAAAAACAGCCGGAAAGTGGGACACATGGACCCTGATTCCATATCGCCGGCCAGTCCTGGCAAGACCCAGACAATGCATCTCACATCGTGCAAGGTGTGCCACTTGTTGGAAGTCCATCTGGGGAAGCCACACCACCTGAAAGTCTGAGTGGGGTTTCAGAGCGTCTTCCGTTTTGGGCTCAACATACAGGCCTCTTAAGCCACTGGCAGCCAACACCTGAGCTTCCAAGCCCTTGATGTACCTCAACATCACAGCATAGTGAGATGCTTTATCCCACTTGACAGGCCGGCCAGCATCATTGACGTACTGTCGTCGGAAGACATCCAGCAGGGCATCTGGCGGTGTGTCGGGTTTTGGATGCCAGGACGGGCAAGAGCAATCTTCTTGGCGGCACGTACGGAGACAAGACAAAACTGACAGGATATGTTTCACTGGCTTGGTGGTGAACTCTTCCCAGCTGAGGTCAAGTTGGTCTTGGTACACGGTGATTCTGGCACAGGCAACATCGACCGTAGGGACAGACAAGGCATCTTTGGCACGGAATTGGTACACTACTTGTTGTCCAAGTTGGACCAGCACACCTGTCAAAAGCATGGGTTCCTGGTTGACGGCACACCTGACAGCAAATCGCAAGGTGGACCACTGGAGGCAAGTGCACAACTCATCAGGAGGGTTAAGCACAATCATGGCTAACCCATGGCTTGTCAAGGTCTGACCAGACCGCAGGATCGGCAAGGCATCGGTGTAGGAAGTCAAGGCCACTCCCTTTGCCAATGGTCCCAACATGGTGAATGGGATCTGAGTCAACGGTTCATCATTTCCAGTTCGGAAGGCACCTGAGTCCAAAAGGAGCTTGGTGGGGTCCATGTCAACAGGTCGTGCAGGCAAAGCTTTCTGTGGTGCAGCTGACTGAGAGCTTTTGGTCTGTTGCTTAGCAATGACCTTCTGTGCAGCTTCATCAGGTAGCACAAGTTGCAAAACTGGCTTCTGCATGTTTGCAAGAGCTTTGAGGGATTTCCATGGTGAAACACCTGTGACAGCTTTTTAGACTTCAAGGCGACCAAGGCTCTGGACAACAAGCTTGGCTCGGGACAACGACTGGGCTTGTGGGACACCGTGTGCTTGCAGCAGGTTGGAGGTAAGACCAAGGACATCAGGCGTGCCCAACCCCCAGCACCATGGTTTCGGGACATCGACCATCTTCTGAACTGCATCAATGAACCTGGCACGCAAAAGAGAGTGCAGTTCATGCAAGCGTTCCTCAGTCTGTGGCAGTTCGGCATCAATCAGGACATGTGCGAGGTAAGCTACAGCAGCAGCCCCGCAATGATCTCGGCCAAAGGATCGACGGGTGCAGGCGAGTGCAAACATTGGAAGATTCCATGCCTGGCTGACAATTCCATGCAGTGCACACAGGCCATTGATATCAACATCCTCATGTTCCCAGATTGACACCTGAACCTCACAAAGTCCCTTCGTCCAAATGACTGGGGTCCAATGGTCATTCATATGGACTACTGTGGCAATGCGCTTGAGATCCGGATACTGGGAAATCCAGCTCTGAGCATCTGCAACAGTGCCAACTTGGAGCCATGATGTGGCAAGCAGTGGATCAAGATACTGGAGGCCTGGGTCATTGGCCAGTACTACGCATGCCAAGGAGTGCATGTTGAGTTCATCATCACCCATCGCTCGGCCTTCTCTTTGAAGCAAATCCAAACGGGAGACACTAGGCACCAGGGCAAGACGCATGTGCAGGCATGTAGGACTATCCCGGACCAATGGTGGCACCAGTGCTGCAAGCTGTTCTTCATTCAGAGTCTTCAGACTCAACAAGGCATCCGGCATGACACTGTCTGCAGCTTTGGAACATGGGACATCACAGACAGACACCAACGCAGGGACACCGACTTCAGACGAGCCATGACCACCATCACTGACTGGGAGACCTGTGGACGCCCCTGCCTCGAATGCATCGGATGCATCTCCGGGTGAGATGTCGGCTGCAAAATCCAACGGAATGGCTTCCAGCTCTTCAGGGCTGAGTCCAAGCGGCAAAACGATCTCATGAGATGAGGCTGAAACTGACGACTGTACAAACGGGAGTACTCGGATGCTTCGACCAGCTACGCACTCATCATTGGCAATGAGCACTCCTGTGCTTGCATCACACCACCTGCCTTCAAGAGCTTGCTTGGTGAGATCAACCTCAGCACGGCAAAGCTGGGACAAGGTTGTCGTGTCGGCCACATGGACATAAACATTGGTGCCATCAGGGTGATGGATCGCAACTTGGGGAACAGTCATGGTCACAGGGGCGCTGACATGGAACACATCATTGGCTGCTTGAAACAGTTTGCGTCTGTATGATGCCAAAACATCCCCAGGGTTCACTTGGGACAATCCCAACACTGCTTGCAGGTGTTTCAGGGCACATCCACCAACCCAAATGGATTGAAGCGGTGACGCAAGCTGTCCTACTGCACAAAGGCACAGTCGAAGGTCAGGATGATCATCGGCAAGCCACGCCTGTGGTGGAACAAATCCATTCAGCAAAGCCAATTCCACTGGGTGTACATGTCGGTATGCCACTGCCCCATCAGTTGTATGATATGGGATGACCTGGGCATAAATACCCCTCTGTCGGATCAACGCATCAGAAAACCCTGCACTTCGGCATCCACAGGGGCAACTAGTGGCCTGAGAACCCCAACTGTGAAGGCATGTGGGTAGTTTGCCATCTTTCTGAAGAAGGTATTTTCTCATGTGGGAACCATCCATGGTGAACTTCTCAATCTCTTGGGGAGTGAGCTGCAAGTCCATTGTGGCTGAGGGTCCCCACTGCTTGAAAACCGGCATGAGATCACGGACTACCAAGTGCGGCTGCTTTGGCCATTCAGGCAAATCCACTCGGCCAAGACTGGGATGTGTGGCAACTACCCACCAGCGAAATCGTCTGGACATCCAAGCTTCTTCAAGCTTCAGGCACAGCTGTGTCACATGGTAGCCTAGGACTTTTTCCAACAACCGAAGATGGGCTTGGACGTACTGGTGGCATCTGGCAGGAGCGACGCACTCTAGCACTACTACTGGGCTCTGGCACAAATAGCAGGCTTTGATGGTGGCTGGAAGTGACAGCTAAAGCCTGACATGATCGTGAAAGGCGGATCCACCTGCTGGAGTAACTGCTTGACACTGGACGGGCAAGTGACATCAGACACAAGGACCGGCACAGACGGGTGACAAGCTTTGTGCAACTCAGCCAACGGTGGTTTCCATTCAACACTGGCAGCATGGGAAAATCCAACCTCAGACAGACCAACCCCGGAGCACGCAATGCCAGAACACAACTCAACAAAACGGAGGGCGTCGGTGGCTGGGCGAAGTCCATGAGCCACCACAACACTGACATCAGTGATCATAAGGTTAACACAGTCAGGACCTGGATCAGCCACAACATCCATAAGAGTCAACCTGCGGCAACCTTTGACCTGTTTGTTGATGTCCCCATACAGCCTCATCTTTTGTTGGTCGGGGATAACCACTCCAGCAATCATCTCATCTGTATGAACCAAACAGTCTACCACCAAAGACAAAGTGGTGCCCCTTTCCAACGTAGACCATTGAGGTGTGAAAAGATGACAAATGGATTCCATCCGATCCCAGTCTGTAGCCATTGCAGGGTGAACCAACGCTCAAAATTCAGGATGAACAGCCCCCCAACACTGGAATGGATTTGAGCCTCGGGGCTGTTTGAAACCACCAACCAGACACCTCTATAACAAACGCTCAAAAAGAATCAGGGTTGCCGCCATTAATCGTGTCTTTCGCCACCACAGGGGGCATTTGTTCCATCCGATCATCTTGGCCACAGTTCAACATGCCCCGCTGTTGGAGGCAACAGCGCCGCATCGCAGAAAAACAACCAACCTACACCCCCAAAATGAGATCTGGAAAATGGTCTTCAAATTGGATTTGACCGATCCGGGCTTCCATATCTAAATTTATGGGATATGTTTTTTTGAGGAGATATCATATATCATCAAGAACAACTGTGACACATGATCAGTGGCCATCATGGCCATCCTGGCAACCAGTGCCAATCCAGTTTCTTGGGGTCCGGATTCAACCTGGCCGATCTTTGGTGAGGATGATGTGGGATGGTGAAGCTGGTGCCGAGGTGAAACTAAGGTCGAGTGAAGATTGAGGGGAGAGCCAGGAAAACAACGTGAGATCGGCAGGTCATCCTGTCGTTGGCGGAATCTGTTGGCTAGGTTGCATTCATCACCAAAAATAATGCCGAGGGAAGGAAAGTCAACATAACATGACATGTATTAGAATTGCAACCACCGACCACCTTGTCATAATGACTCTTTCTGGCATACTTCGTGATACATGCACCATGTGTATATATATATAATTATATATAATAAGTATGTTACCATCCATTTACATCCCTTTAACCCGTAACAACTCTGCGGACACGGGACCAAACCACTCGGCCATCGCTCTCGAGCTGCTTGCTGTCCATGACGATGTCACCCTTGCCCCACAGGACCTGTCAGAGTGGCTGAAGTTAAAATCCAACGATCCCAGTTGTTGCAGAGCCATAGGGTCACTACTTGGATGTGCGGGCCCCACGAATCGGATCCGTGGTATATAATCCATATATAATCAAGCCCTAGAATCCCATGTATCAGTGGGGATATTCATGTACATCATTGGGGGGTATAACTCACCGTATAACCATAACCCATAACCACATTCCGTGGGATGGATCCCGTAGGCAACCAGGATATGGCCATCAGGGATTGACTACCCTCTGGTTGTCAAAATAGCTATTGAAAATGGCACCTTTATAGTTGATTTACCGAACTTAAAGATGGTGATTTTGCATAGTTATGTAAACGTTTACCAGAGGGTAACCACTATGAAAGTGCGATGACTCCGATTCCAGCCGTATCCCCGATCACAGAGAGGCAGCCTTGTGCCCCTCATCCAATACGTGGAGAGTGCTGGAACCTGATGCCGACTCTCAAAACCAAGAGAGACACCAAGAAAATGGAGAACTGAAAAGACTGAGAAATATATATGGTAAATATTGCGGTAATAGTTTTGTTAACCGGCAAAAATATACCCCAGGGTCGTTGTTGTTGTTCATTAATTTTGCGGTGAATAAAAATGACAGTCACTGCGAAGATCACCGGTTGCACCCAGCAAAAATGCCAATAAAATGGATGGTTCTTGTCAACGATCGTCAAGGAATCAACTATTTGAATTGTCTTTTTTACACGAAATTGGGCCATCTATACCATCTGGCTAACTGATAATCATTCACTAAAATGACAAGTTCTGCTAATATTGGGTGATAATTCCAAATACATAAACCATCATGCCAGTGAGGGAGAACAGTGAGGTTATTATAATTTACGCATAATTTACCCCAGCATACCACAGCTATGCAAGAAATTACCAGAGGCTCAACCCCATTGAATCCTAATAAGATGCCATATCCCATTAGATATCATGAAAAATCCCATCAAATCCCCTTTAATCTCATTGATATTCCATTCAATCCCATTAAATCATATTAAATCCCACTCATATCCCATTAAATCCCATGGTAACCACATGAGTTCCCGTGAATATCTGCCGAGGCACGTCCCTTCAGTGGCGCCACCTGGGAGGTAGGGTCGAATGATGGGGGTACAGTGATAGGGGTTTCCATACATGGGGGTACCCCAAAATGGATGGAAAAAAAAGGGAAAAGCCATCTATAAATGGATGATTTGGGGTACCCACATTTCAAGAAACCTCCATCCATAATATATATATATATATGATATGTATATGTATATATATGGGTAAATTATAATATTTCACTAACCTGAATTGTTGGGCCATTTATTTGGGCATGATTTAACCCTCACCCTGGTGGGATGGGTCAGTTCACCCGTTTTTTATCCCCAAAAATTTTGGGAGTTGATTCCTCCAACTTGACCATCATAATGACCTCGTTATAAGTTTTTTTTTCCATCCAAATTCTTAGATGATATCATAGTTATAGTATGATATATATATATATATAATTATATATATTATGGTATTATGGATATGGCCCAAACATGGCGTACCAAAGTCGCCCAGAAAATTATTCATGCTGCCTCTAGACACTCTTATCTTTCTCTCATTTTTGAGGCGCACGGACAGCACGCAGAAATAGAATTGCCATGTCAAGGGTTAAGGAGTTGACCAAGTGGTATCCTCCAAGCAGGATGTATCAAGGGGGTTATGGCAATTCCTTCCTGGTTCAAAATACAGCCCAATGGAACTTGATTTTGAGCCCCATGCAGCATGGGGATAGTTGAAAGGGATTTGTGATCAAGGAAATCAACCCTGACTTTGGGATCTTCAGGATGTGAAGCCATTTTTGTTCACATAGGCTATCGTCAAGTTACATGGGATTTATGATGATTTATGATGATTTATGATGATTTATGATGATTTATGATGTTTTATGATGATGTATGATGATTTATGATGATTTATGTGGGTCGTGGTTCTCCCACAATCATTTTTTTGGGCATTTCAAACATGAAGGATATAACTGATATGCCAAGCCCTGCCCTAAAAGGCCCTAGGGCGATGACCATCTGACCGTTTGGTGACCGTCTGACCCTTTGGACCCGTTGGACCCGTTGGACCTCAGTATCGCCAGTATCTGCCAAAAAAAGCTAGCCCCAAGAATTTCATGGCCTCATTTTCCCATCATGTCCCACATGTTCAACCATCTTTCCCCATATTTTCCCACATCTTCAACCATCTTTTCATATCTTTTCCCATATGTTCCACGAAGTTTCCAAGGCCAAGGAACTCCATCTGTCCACGTGGTGCAGCGAAGTTTCTGTCCACTCCAATACACTTCATGCCACTGCCAGCGCCTCATGGCTGGAAAATCCCCAAAGATGGAGCTTTTCTGTTGGGAAAATCCATGGAAGATGTGGGATTGAAGTGAATTTTCTCAACAATCATACCCTTGGTGTTGATGGAAGTGGAGAATGTTCTCCATGGAATTGTCCAGCCGCGTTTTTTGATGACACTGGAGGATAGTTGTGGTCAAAGCTTAATGATGAATCCATTTGTTCACCATGTTTTGCAATGTCTTAAGCATCTCTGAGGCCTGAGGCCCGGGCTTTCCACTATGATCCTTGCCGTGCCACCTGAAGCCAGCTCAAACCACATGCGCATTCGAGCACCCTGGATTTGAGTATTCGCGGCAGTTGGGAGGTATCTAGGGCATATTGGGGGTCTATGCTGGTGTATGTTCCAGAAATTTCACATACTTTCCATGTCCAATCTCCCGAGGACTCGTAGTTATATATTGGCGGCGGAAGTGCGAGAGTTATGTTTGTTGGTTGAATCCCTATCTGGTTGGTGGTTTCACCCCCCTCTGACAAATGTGTCAGTTGGGATCATTCTTCCCAATATATGGAAAAATAAAAATGTTCCAAAATGTTCCAAAATGTTCCAAAATGTTCCAAAATGTTCCAAAATGTTCCAAACCACCAACCAGCTATTAAAATCACCCTCAAATCCCAGCAAGAATCCCATTGATCCTCCATAAAATCCCAGGCGCCTTCCCACCAGTCGTTCCACCGCCGTCATGGCCATGGACTTTGCCGGGCCGATCAGCTGTACCGCGGGGTCTGTGGCCACCCCGTCGTCGATCCCGTGGTGCGCCGGCGGGGGCGGGCGCTGAAGGATGGTAATGGGTCGTGCAACCTGGTGGCAAGGGAGGACGTCCGGAAGCTGATGGGAATACGGCAATGTATGGTGGTTCCTTAAGTCATGGATCCCCAAGTGACCATGGACCATGGGTTTCAATACTTAATGGTCATCCATGACCTGGATGATTTGGGGGTACCACCATGACTTAAGAAACCTCCGAATATCTATACATCAAACATTCCATAGTTTGCTTGAATTTAAGTGCTCGGTTCTCCTTTTTTTTTGAGGAGAGGACCTATACTTTACCATATTTTACCTCATTTTGGGGGGAAATGACCCAAGCTTTTGTGGTAAACTCATTGGCACAATGTTTGGTGTTTACCATGGTCTAATGTTGGTAAAACAATAATAAACCATCCCCAATTTCACCATAAATAGGTGGTATGGTTACCATTCCCAAATGTGTGGATTGTTATTGTTTTAACCACATTAATGGGGATATAGCATGGGGATGAACCATGGTGATTTTCTTAGTGGATATAACATGATATAACAATTTTTATGGTATATGAATAGTGATTAATGGATGGTATATCCCCATTAATCATATATTATAGTGTTATACCATATGAAATTATCATATTTATGGTTTATGCCATCTAGAAATTATGGTTATACCATCTAGAAATTATGGTGTTACATCATTATCATTATGGTTTATAGTTTATACCATCTAGAAATAACATAGGAAATGGGGATATCAGTGATTAATGGATGGCCTAACCTACCCATCACCCCGCCTCCTCACTTGGCGGTGGCACTGTTGGTGGCCCTGGTGGACCTGGCGGACCTGGCTCATCCGGCTGGCTGGGCGTGGAGGCTGTGTCTGTCTGGCAGCTCCTGGCGAACTTGGCGGAACTGGATTTGGGTGATTTTAGGGTGGTTTCATGGGATTTTAAGGAGGATTTCATAGATTTGATGGGGGTTTTATGGAGGATGTAATGGGATTTGAGGGGTCGGATGGGCCACAGGATTTTTTCTGGTGATTTTTAAGGGGATTCAATCAGCAAGAATGGGGAGATTTTTCAAACCATGAAAATAGATGATTTAGATTGATTTACATGTCTTTTGGTGATTTGCAATAGCTACGTTAAAGTACCAGAGCTGGAATAGAAAGTTGAAAGGCACATAATTTTTGGCGTAAAAGACTGCCTAAAGTCTATATAATTATATATATATGTATACTAGGTTCCATAGTCTTGACAACGGTGGGGGTTCCCCGGGCCATATCTAGCAAACTGTCTTGACATGCTGGCTGCTTCTTGTTTACCTCAAGATCCTCAAATGATACCCTGGTAGAACGAAACCGATGGCGCGCAAGCATCAATGCAAAATAGGCCATTTCTTCCGCTGTCAAGACAGTTGTTGAAATTGGGGTAATGTGGCAGGACCTTGGGACAGCGAACGGAAATAAGATGAAATAAGAATCCATCGGTATTGTCCCCGGCGATAACAATGGACCGGCGCCTGCCTTGGCCATCGAGCATTTCCCTAAGAATGCCCGAGTCTTTCGGATTTATGGTGCAGATGGGTGCAGCAGGGAAATCTGTTGTCACATGTCTTTTATTATGGTCAGGGTTTGTTAATCCGGGGTTGGCATTATCTGGAAGAGCCTGGACGTCTTCATTCAAAACCACACACGATACATTGTCTTGACATTCTTGACATTTGGGTTTTTTTTGGTTTACTATGATGTATTTGTTCCTACGTCGCTTGTAGTCACTCACTGTCTTGACATTTGCAAGTGTTGAAACACAACCCTGCCAACCCTATCGTCTTGACAGCGAAGCAAACCCCCCTCCCACTGATTCCAACGGTGAAATTGGCGAGGGATAGGCCTTTGAATCACCCGCCAATTCTTTTGTCAGCCAGACACGTTGGATTACTAGAGAGGGTACTTCATCATGATCTTCACAGACACACACATATATATATATATATTAATTTAATATATAATCCATTCGAAGATCAGCTGAATTATAAGAATTCACCAGCCTGAAAATCGTTGAAATAAAGCCAGCTATGGGGATTTCCCATATACAAAGCATATCGAAGCATCATTCCTCAAGATTCCATGGAACAAGCCACTGCCGACCGGATCTTCCGGTCCTTAGTTCTTCTCCACCCCAATCGGTGCGCAAGACCTGTTCAGAGGCATCGCTCCGACCTTGGCAACCAAAAAAGATAGGAGGGGGCGACGATAGGATGATTGGAGGATCATAATAATAGTATATAGTATCTATAGATCTATCGTACCTATCTGAGGTATCTATGATTTTTTGGAGGATCATAATCTAGTCAGTACTATTATATATAGTTACCATAGGGCCATAGGGTCCATTGTTTAGGATCATAGGTACAACATGCTACCACATTTTAGTAGCTTCGTGTGTTTCTGTCTCTTTGCGCTTTATATCATGGGCATTCAACCAGCCCCTTCCGTTGGTGACCACCTAATCGTGAGTAAGCTAAAGCCTGTGTCGGGTGAAGAATGCTGAAGGGAACATCCTCATGCCATTCTCAAAAAATAAACGCATCCTCCTGATGTAAAACTTCCTTCACAACCAAAAAGGCACGCCACATTCTACTTGGGCTTCTAAAATGAAAACTTCCAGGGGTTGTATTTCATAGTGGAAGGGACTGCCTCCATTCCAGCTCAACCATACAGGGGATTTGGGAACAGCTACGGTACAGTGATGTCGCGACGTGAGGTCATTATAATTTCTCCAGATAACTCATTAAATAAATAAATAAATAATATATATATATGATTATATATGTATATTATTATATATATTATAAACTATGATATATTATGATATATTCCGATTATGCCACATATTTGGTTGCTTCCATCCCCAAGTTTTGTTGGCGCAGGCACCATCAAAGTCTTCCCACTCCGGGCATCTGTCCTGACCCGCTCGGAGCCACTTAGAGGTCGTGAGGATGAACCAAATACCCTCTGGTTATGTCAAACATAGCTATTGAACATGACCATTTATAGATATTTATAGTGGATTTTCCCATGAAAAATGGTGGATCTTTCCATAGTTATGTAAACGTTTACCAGAGGGTAAATGGGATGAAACTCATGTTGAAATACCATGAAACACCACATCCATGTACCTTTTTGTGGGCATTTGGAGGGAGGTTCGAACAACGAGTGCAACATGGTTCGAATGCAGTCGTGAATCTTGTCACGTGAAGCTTGTCTGACAAAGTCTTGCAAATAATTGAATATGCGCCAAACCTGTGCCCCCAAAACAATTGAATCGCAATTCATTAAGACACAAATTGCCGATCATTCAGCTCGACAATTCATTCAGCTGAAGCTATCTGGGTTTCTTTTACCATCAACAGTTTGCCGATCACCCAGGCCTGCCGTACCGCGTAGCAGTGCTTTCGCAGCTCCTGGTTGGCTACATCTGATGATCGCAATCACAGAAAACATCTAACTGGGAGTTCCAGATTTCAAGTTTTCAGATGCCATGTCCAAATGTCCCTTCCCCGATCATCAGTAGATTTCACCAGAGTTTTCTTGAGGGCGTGCCTTGTTTTTTAACAAAAGGGAACTTGAAATATGCAACATCAACAAGTCAAGAACCAACGTGAGGTGCAATTCGGGCCATAATATCCGACGAGTTGACTCAGGAAACACTTGTTGTCACCAGTCTTTTTTCACCGATGGGAGATGATGATACATCTCATCTATATTGGGTCCAGAAGTGAATGATCTTTGAATCAAGCAGCCCCCCAAACGATATGATGCATAGCCCCACGATTTTTACACGGTGTCAGACTGACTTGGCTTAGCAACATTGGACCTGGCTAGCCCCGGTGTTTTTGGTCATATCTCCATCCCCATAACCGGGTATAGGCCCAAGTCTGTCCCCAAGACTACCATCCAACCAACATAGACTGTGCCAACCGGGGGGTGGAAAATGTTAGTTTAGTTTCCTTGAGGGTATTTCACGTAAGATTCCTTTCAGGAAGGTATGCCAACCACCCATGGAATCGATACATGCTTCGCTCCAAACCTTGAAACTATACAGCCGGAAATGTCGGTCTACAAGTGAGTACCCATATTATCCATATTTGAAATTTGAAAGTGAGTTGTTGTATATCACGGTTGGTGCCCACTTCTGACCAAGTTGTTCTTGGTTCATGTTGGTTTGATCCTCATTTTGGCTGCATTTCAGTGTCCTCCATCATGAAGCGTCTTGCCCGATCACTACCTCAGGGATTTCTAATGATTTCTATGAACAAAGTGCCATGACATGGACAAATCCATCGGTCTATAATATGAAGGTCTTCCGAAAATGGGGGGCCTCTATATATACAACCATCCCGACTTGGTCATTTCGGATGAGGAAAACCAATGGTCTTGGGAGACTTGGGCACCCCTACTGGATCACATGGGCAAAAAAAGAACCGTTTCCTCACGCTCCCTTGGAAATACCATCTGGTTATGACTAACAGTTTGCCATGGAAAATCACCATGCTATTAATAGGTAAACCCAGGTAAACCATCTATAAATGGGCCATCTATACCATGGCTATGTTAAATAACCAGAGGGTATCTGTGGCTTTGATTTCTCCCTCCATCGCCCTGGCTTTGATGGGATAACCACATAAAAAGGATTTAGGAATCCATCTTTGACTTTTCCGGTGCCGGTTCCCCATCCCCAAATATCACCGGCCCAGGGCACAGTCGGCATCATCACCCGACAAATGTCTCAAGCAGTAATCCCAGTCCCTGCGATGGCCGTGGCTCCCGAACCACTTTGGGCGGAAATGCTAAGCATGCAAGCTGGTGCACTGGTGCTCCAGTTCGTTAGCTAAGTTGGTGCAAACAACTCCAATAACTTGGATTTATGGTAGATTGGTAGATATGATCTATCTAAATCTATCTATAGTTGCTACCATTTACAAACCAACTTATGATTGGGGGGAGCACCACCTTGCAAAAGATGGCAGAAGGTTCCTATTGAAACTACCACAGGACTACAACTAGATTGTTTTTGGCCATGTTTGCTGTTCTAGATCTGGGCTGCCATGATGGTATTCGACTACACCCATCACTCATCTTCAGCCGATTTCCCGAGTTTTGTTTGGCTTAACCCAATGGTTTAAATATAGATTTATCCCATCTTATCTTATCCCATATTTTCCCCATTCAAATTGCCATGACATGCCATGACATGCCAGCGAATCCCGCCTGAAGCGAGTGGAACACCAGGGGCAAAGATAGGGCGGGCCCGGCACCTTGGCCTTCGCGAAACAGAGGAGTCTGGTTGAGCCGGTTGAGCTAGCCATGGTATATTGGGTATAAATATACTGATTGGGCAGTATTAGATTCTGGTAGAGCAGATTTAGACATCATCCCTAAGCCACAAAATCAGAAGTAAATTGGAATTTAGATTAGATTTGTTATAGTAGATAGCTGGGAATGGTAGAAAGAAAAAGATCTATGAACTATGAAATATAAAAAGAATAATTCGAAGAACCAAACAGATTTTGCACAACTACGAGTACCTTGGAGTACCTTGGACTGGGCCCTGAAGAATCCACCTGGGATATCTCCAGTATTCTTCCAGTATATACCCGAAAAATCATGGACTTCGTCAATGGGTTTCGGATGACATCCCATATATGAAATTTGGAAAATTAAAAAAAAAAATGTTTGAAACCACCAACCAGATAATATAAGATAAAACCAACATGGTGATATCATGTGATATCCACGTTTTGGCCGGTAAAGTCCTGTTTCGCTGGCTGATTCCCCAGTTGAAATTCCCTATGCCTCGACATCTCCCCTCTTTTCGTGGCCTCCCTCCGACCCATGGCCGCCACTGACCGCTGCAACTGATCTGTGATGATCTGTGAGATTTGCTGTGGCCATGACTCCGATCCCAAAAAAGAGTTGTCTGAATTTGTCTGTTAAACAAATCACTGAAAAATCGACCAACATCTGGCTATTGTGCTTCAAAGGGTGTTCTACATGCTGGAACAAAACCATGTCTCTTCGCAGCTCGCCAAGTTCCTGAATTGGTTCCCTTGAGCCCCATGATCCATTGCAGCTTTTTCCAAGGGATCACCTTGTCATCCAATCTCCGGATTGCGGCAACGATGGTAACGGCTTCCAATTTTGGTGGCTGATCCTCATAGGAAAACCATGGGAAACCTGCCTCGAAAGACCTTGGCCACAAAAGCACCTCCTGAAATCGCTGGGTGCTGAGACATGGCCATGGGTGGTGGTCTGATCAAGAATGTTTAACACATGTGTGTGTGCGAGTGCGAGTTTGTATCAATGTTTGGGTCCATTTTTGATTTGGTACAAGTATCTCATGTGCGAGCCATCTCATGTGAATATGTCCATATATTTTTACACAATATTCTGGGGGTTTACACAATATTCTGGGGGGCCTTTGTTTTAATATGACCAACATGGGCTTTGATCAGGGGGAACTGACCTTGCAACGGAATATTCAGATCATAATCATTCAGCATATGCATTTGTGAAAATACCTCTCACTTATCCATAATTGACTATATAAGAGCTATATAACTTTACACATGCCGATATATGTATATATATATATATACATGATAGTATATTCATAATATAATGTGTATATATAATTATATATATGTGACTATGTGTGTGTGTGGCATCTATTTAAAAAATAAAAATAATTTTGATAAAATAGTTATAATGACAGAGTCATATGTACCTCTCAATGCATCATCTCGAAAAATCGTGGCGTCGGCACGCCTTCCCGCAGCAAAGCCTCCGCCACGAAGAGTTCCGAAAGCAGCAACTGATGCTGTACATACCTGGCATGGCGCTGGATCTGGTGCTGAAAATGCTGGGATTTACCCAACATTCATTGCCATTTCATGGGGAAAATGATGACAAACCATGGGGATATTGGTTGGTTTATTTTACCCAAATCTTCAGATGAACCCAAATGTTTTTGGGTCGGCTATCTGGGGATTTTTTACATTCACTTCCGAGTCTGGGACTCATATTTGATATGATCTTACCTAGGAACGGAACGATACTTCTGAATCAGAACATGACAGAAAAAAATCAGATCAACAGCTGGGAATTGATGAGATTCTTAAAGATTCTTACACTATTTACAGTAGTTGAATTCTTATCTGCTTAGTGAGACCATGAAGCAGAACTAACTCATTGCGCCAAAAAATCAGGTCACCGAGGGCAGAAAGCAAGGTTCACCTGCTGCCGTATCTTTTTCTAAGTATACCGTATCCATCTACATTTTGTTGCGGTTAAACGTGTTTTTTTTGCTTCAAAGTAAAACCCATATGATGTATATGATGCATATATATATTATATATATATATAATGTATTCATAATTTATACATAATAATTATAACAACACATGACATCCAAGAACTCATTTTACCCCTAGCCTAAGTGTGGATTATCACTACAGGACCAGGGCACTCGTCGAAGTCGGATTTTCCGGTGGCATCGGGAGCACCGTCCTTGGAGGAAAAAAGAGGGAAAACTTATTTTTCGGTAAAAACAAAATGGCAAAAAATGAATGAATGTCCGAGGAAACATGAGAAATTGATCGAAATTGCAGTGTAACAAGCGGACATGCAATTTGTGGCCACTTTGATATGGGGAAACGGATGACCTGTGCACCTCAAAATGCCAAGCTGCGCAAACAACCAAATCTGCTCCTTCGCCTGCGACGGGATCAGAGCGTGGACCTCTAACGTTTGTTTCAAGTCACCCGTTTCACCGGATTTTCCGGCCCTTCAACATACTTCTAAACGACATGTCGCTTATTGTTTAATTTGTTTATGATATTTAACTACATGAAAATCATGAAATAGAGACTCTTTGAGAGACCGACATGATACATATTATAAACATTTATAAACCCCTCCGGATATTTAACATAGCCATGGTATAGATGGCCCATTTATATATATATATATGTGGTTTACCTATTAAGAATGGTGATTTTTCATGGCTATGTTAGTCATATGTTAGTCATAACCAGATGGTATACCTGCTAAATCCTGGCTCCGTACTCCATCCCTGAAATCTGCAAGTCGTGTCAAGCCTTGAAAGTGCTGCAAGACCTCCTCTACCGTGGATTGATGTGTGATATCACCTGCGGCTGGCGGGTGACTGGTCATTGGGGAAATTGGGGATCATCCTATGTCTGTGGTCAAAAAAATAACATATTTGAAAGAACCCCCCTTGCATTGTGTTGGCGCCTTGTGGGTATAGAAATTGCAATCTTGAAAAAATGCAGCATGTAACGAAAAAATGGAACTTAAAAATTGCAAACAAAAAGCAAGTGCAGAAAGACAATGCAAACAAAATGGAAATCATAAATGCACCAAAAATGCAAGTGCAAAACGCATTGCAAAACACATAGAACTCGAAAATGAAAAAAATGTAACTGCAAAAACGCAAATGCACAAAAGGCTTTTCGGACACCCATTTGATTCACATTTACGGGCGTGAATGTGTCTTCTGCGCAGGTTTTACTACCTTGCCCAGGTTACTTTGCTGCTTCCATGTGCGTTGCATTTGGAATTTTCCCTTTTTCCCAGGTTGCATTTCTTCTGTCGAGATTCTCCACATGTCATGTCGCCTCCTTCCAACTTGCATTGGTTCCCCTTGTTTCATTTGTCAGATGTGCCACTTTCCAAGTTGTATGTGTTCTTTCCATTTTATCTCCATTTGCTATCTTTGCCCCTTTTCAAGTTTTTCCCTTTGTTCTGCAATTGTCAGGTTTGCCTCTTTCAGACTTGCATTTTTGAATTCCATTTGCTTGCATGGTTTCTCCATTTTTTCAAGATGTAAACATCCTAGAACAAGCGCAATTCGACAGCACAACCCTGGCACTTCAGTACTTCAGTGGGTTGGGGGGGTGATTTTCTAGGGTAGATCAAGATCCCTTCTAAAATCAATGGGCATATCGGTGTATCGGCACACCCCTAATTTTGGGAGCCAGCAACGTGGCACGCCTTGTACTTGAACCACACCAGGGATCCTGGGTGAACCGGGAACCCCCAGCCACAGTGGAGACCTTTACGGAGGTGAACATAACTCCAATAACCATCAATAACCAGTGTTTGTGGTAGATAAATAAAACTGGTTGGTGGTTTCAACCCCTCTGAAAAATATGAAAGTCAGTTGCGATGATGAAATTCCCAATATATGGAAAAATAAAAAATGTTCCAAACCACCAATCAGAAAATGATATCTAAAGTTACCAGTTATCATATAGTTCCCATGGTTTGTAAACCAAATACATAACTCGGGTGGCACCACCATGTATCCGATTTGATCTATCCCATTCTGAATGACCCAAATGAGGCCCTCGATGTAAAGCCAAGTGTCGGTTGCATGGCCTGAGCGTCAGGGGAGGCCTAAATCGATGGATTGTTTGAAGGGAAAACTCTCGGGAAGCCATGTGTTTTTTACCCAAAGATTAGGTGTCCTGCAATTTTCCATTTAACATTATTTGACCAAATTCGGAAATTTGTGGTTTAAAAGCAATGTAATCCCAAAATATAATTATGACCCAAACATGAACCTATCCTTCTATCACTTCTATCTACCTGTTCATGTGCCTAGGCAGGAACAGCATATGCTTTGAGCCCCCAGCTATCTTCATATGACCATGGCATGTTGAGGCTAGATGGGCATACAACCATGACTTTTGTCTGTAGCCATGACATCGCGAATAATCAACAATTTGAAAGCACAAAGTCATCTAAGATCTTTCCACCCAAATCATGCACAATCAGGACTTTGATATAAAACCAATCACTAGGAGTGGTCCAATTTTTGTTTGAACCTCCTGATGATCATCCACCCTGTAATATTTTCTCACCAAAAGAATAGGGTGGCTACTTGGTGGCTCATCCCACTTGCTAAGTGTGGAAAAGGGATAAGTAGGGTTAATCCACTTATAACTAGGGTGAACTATACCTACTTACGTTTCATGGGTAGTTCGCCACCGGCCGTACTCAACTTCTACCGGCCAGGTCACGTATTTGTCCACCGCCACTATCCGAGGCTGAGGTACATCCGGAAGGATCAGGCGCATGGCCAAAACCTGATCAGTCGACCCCAAGAATCCTCTGGTTAAATGGGTCCATGAATAAATGATACATCTATGAATGTATAAAAAAATATGTAGTATCACGATCGTTCACTATCAGTATCATGTTCGTTCTTCATGATCTCTAAATTATTAGCGTTATCTTGGTAATTAGGCATTATCGTTCATCATCACCATCATCATCATCATCATCATGATCATGCTCTTTAATTATTTAATCATATATATATATGTATATATTAGCATGGTTATCATTATCATTCATTATTATGCATCATCACAATTACTCATGATCATTCTTCTGATAATTCAAAATCACTATTGCATCATTACCATAACTATTGCATTCCATTATAATCATTAGAACCCATAGTATCAGTACTAATATCAATAATCCAATAAATATCAAACAAAAACGTGATTACTACAATCCATCATAGGATCATTGAAAATAATAGCACGACATATCCATTAACCATCTATTAACCATCCATTCACCATCCGTTCACCATCCGTTCACCATCCATTCACCAACCGTTTTCTCTTAACCATGCATTAATCATTGCGTATCATTCCCCACCTGCGACCATCCGCCCGGTGCGGCACAGAGGTCAGCCACATTGCGCACCTGAGGGAACTTGAGATTTCACAAGGGTTTTTTTGGGCTTTCACATGGGATTTTTCAGCGAATTGGAAAAAAAAACAAGTCGGAAATTGAGTTTTTTTCGAACAGTTTTTGATGGTTTTTGCAAAACCAATTGAGATATCTTGGATTTATATCATCATCGAAATTGGGATTTGAGCAACGAAATTGGGGAACTTAACGGTTAAGCGCTTTACCCTGCAGCTATTTTATTTAACACCACTATGGAAACCATGGACCATAGAAATAATAGATCGTTCACCTACTAAAAATGGTAACCAACAAAATTGCTGGTGTTACCTACTAAACCTGGGAATTGACAATGAAAACTGGGGGCTTAAGCAACAAAATGATGGTCAGGGTTGGTTTAAAAGAAAATCTACTGGCTTTTTGAACTCCAGAGATAGAGGTCTCGAGCCAAGATTTTCCCTTCAGCCAATTTCCAGAAGAATAGTTTGGATACTTTAAACCCCATTATCCACGGTTGCATGCATCCCTGTGTAATGGGGCTTTAATGGGATATGGATGGAGGAGGGACATCTACATAAATCACCAATACGTATGCTGCTTAATGATAACAGGAAATCAACCATCAAAACTAGAGATAGCACTGGTTTATATGACTAACCATCAACCAATTGTGGTGTTGGATGTGATCTCTTCCCACTATGAAACATACCTTTCAAGAGGGACTCACATTGGATAGATCCAGTATGTGTATTTATGTGTATATATGCACATTTTACATCATTTTACCAGTTTTTTTTGGGGGGGTACTCGGTAATCAACCATGACAACTGGTTAAATCCACAACTGAAAATTGGTCGTTTTCCCAGTTGGAAAGTTTCCCAAAGAGGGCCCAAAAGGCGGCTTTTTTAACCCTCACACTGGCGGCCATGTTGCTCCCTGTAGCAACTTTACTTCATCATCGATCCTGTAGGCGGGCAGATGCGGGCAGCCTGAAACCACCAAATATGGGGGTTTCAAGCCCCAAAACAATCGTAGCCTGAGTTCATGATCCTAGAAAAGGATAGAAAAGGGAGAGGAAAATTGAACTACAGCCACGGTCCAAAGAAAAAGGTCTCGCATCAGCTATTGGATATCTAACAAATCCAAGTGCCATGGTCATTTCATATAATTTCCAAGTGTGGAAATTCATATTCCCATTAAATCTCGATGACATCCCATTAATATCCCCATCAATATTCCCGTGAATATCCCCTATGAATACCTCACAATATTCCCATGAAAGCATGTTCTTCCATTGCTTGTAAGTTCCCATCACGTCCCCATGAATATCCCCATCAATGACCAGATCCAATGAATAATCAATATCACGAAGGAGATTATTAATTTGTATCGATGGATCTCCATCAATATGCAAATGAACAACCAATTCTAAGCTAAATCCAGAACGGGGGCTACAATAATTGACATTATTTTCAAGAAATGGATGCTAATGGACATAGAATTCCATGAGTATCCATTGCCATCTCCCCAACTAACCGAAACCCTGACAAATACAGTAGGGGGAGAGAAAATTGGTTTCCACCAACAAAACTATTTCTAGGGTTTCTATATATTGATTTATTGAAGGATAATATCCATGAATATCCCCAGTAATTAGCCAATTATACCGAACTAAAAATTGCCAAGTCTTCAACCAATGTTAAGTAAGATAAATATATTGCATAATATATATATACTGTGTATATATATATATATATACTTGCAAGTACTCAATATCATATTCAAATTATTGGTTATAGCAGCCCCAAAAAAAAACGAAAAGTGAGAAACCTGGATGTTTTTGTCAGTAAATATCATTGAACCAACATCCTGGAAACACTTTTTGACATCATTTGACATCTTTCTTTGGGACGTTCTATGGGAAACATCTGGCTGTTAGTATGTCAAGCTTAATTGTATTGATTTTAATGGTGATAATAACTCAGTGTTGATGGTTTTTTGTTAACCACATCCATTAATGTCACTAGGAGCTATAGGAAAAAACTCTTCAAAGTCCACATAAGTCGTCTGTCGAGGCACTGCAGCAGTTTGAAGGCCGAGCGCGCCCGGAAGCCTTCCTTTTTGGCCTCGCGGTAGTAGATGTCACGCTTGTCCTCCACGAAGTCGCAGAGTTCATCAATCCCAAGGGGAATGTTCCCCAGCAGTCTGCGAAAAATTGTAATTTCATCGTGGAAAAATGGAGGTTCACCTAGCTAATCAACAAAAATGATGGTTCTGAATAAAGGAAAATTAAGATCCAGCATGATTCACTAGAAGAAATTGAATCACAATGGATGATGTCTCACAAGCTGAAATGGGAGAACTTGGTAATATTTATATAGCGGGTTTAAAAGAGCAACCCGTTCATCCTCCCAACTTGGGCTTTGAAAATTTTGAAAATGAAATCAAGCCATGCATCGGACTGAGGGCGAGCAAATGGGTAGCCCTCAACAACCACACAAACCTTCGCAGGATTACCACACAATCCGAATATAATTTAGCAGCAGCCCAAAGACGAATTCCCGGGGCCCCACGTGTAAACCCTGGTGTCTTCAAAAAATAATCATCAAACGAAAGGCAGGTTCTCCAATGTTCTCATCTTCGAAACTCCCCTGAGATTTGGGATGACACTTGGCCAGGTGTACTTTCCGAGAAAAGGACAGTCCTTGGACAAACGCCCCATGCCCAGCACACAGCTGGGATAGAGCTCTTTCTTGTGAGATACGTGAGTGACTGGGTAAGGTGATGTTGCAATGTCCACAACCGGGGTCTGTTGAAGCAAGTGGCCCTAATGAACAGGTTGGAAAGATAAATCATGACCGAAATAATTAGGAAATACATGGAAATACTGTTGACTTCATGATGACCTCATGTCTTGGTCAGGACATCCACATCCGACAGTGGATCTTGATCCAAACAGATCATGCAGCACCATGGGGCCGGTGGTGCCCATGTGATCCATGGGAGCCAAGTGAGCTGCACCAAGAGTTGCAAGAAACCCAAGAGCGCAGGCACATGGGGCCCATGGGCAAGATATGTAGACAAAGAAAACTACAAATAAATTAAATAATGAATCAATAAACAAACAAACAAACAAACAAGCAAACAAACAAACAAGCAAACAAACAAACAAAACAAGCAGGCAAATAGAGATAGATACACAAACATCGTGATTCATTTGGTCTGGAGAATTCTTCACAGACTGAGTCTGGTGAATGAAACGAACCTCGGGTGAGATTCTGGGGTCGCATGTTGGGATCGAACCGGTACGATTAAAAGAAACAAACTGCAGAACTGATTTTCTCTATCATTCTATCATATTCGATCAATCCATCACAATCCATCCACCGATCCATCATTCCATAGGCATGTGTATAAAATTTATGTACATAATTATATATATATATATATTATACATTTATATATACATTTATATATATATATATTATATGTGTGTGTACACTGCTATTCACATGCAGAAAACTACAACTGGACATTTGATGACTATGCACGTTATGTTTTCCGAATTCATGCGCCAAAGACTATGCACGTTATGTTTTCCGAATTCATGCGCCAAAGACTACTTAACAGCAGGGGGCTGCAGGGAATGTCATAGTTCTGCAGCCAACGAAGACGGCTATGACATTCTGTGATATCGATCCGGGACGCTGGATCGACGTACCTGCCTAATCATGTCTTTCCTTTTCCGCGATGGGATGTGGCTAACCCAAGAACCACCTTGCTGATTAATGATTTGGACCTGGTTTCACCTGTTTATCAAGGATGATGGACTCAGGAATTCTACCAGGCGTGTACAACCACATCGTCATTGCAGTTCACTTCCAAAAAATCAACAGTGTGCATTAGTCATGTGTCCTATACAGACCATGACCTTATCATCCCTAATGGGGAAGAACAATCTTGGCATAGTGTGCCGAATCCGCCCTCTACGGAGGCAGAAGTTGAGCGAGTAGCCATAGGGGCTGCTAGAAGTGATGGCAATAGCCGAAGGGGGGTCAAGGACAATTGAAGGGTGGCATAAGCCGAAGGAGTGCCCAACGGGCGAATGGTGCCCATAGGGCGAAGGTGGCCATGTGCCGAAGGATTTTATTGGCCGGGAACCCTACTTCTTACTGTCATTTTATGAGTATCACAAAAGTGTGCGGACACACATAGTTTGTGATGCTCAAACCAAGCAGAATGTCAAACACGGTAGGGACCTTATCGCTGCAGATGTGTGTACGATCTTGATTCATGTTTTCGATCATGCGCAAGTTGACACATGATTTTGATGCGTTTTCAATCTGGGTAATGCATTCCCTTGGCTCATAGCAAGCTCTTTGACATGTTAAGTCAATTTGTTGCTTTTCATTTCTACACGTCATTCGTCATAACACACCATGCGCTAAATGTACTGACAATTCTTGAACAACTCATTTCTTCTTTCGTGTTCAGCAGACTTTTTCGCGATATGGAACTCCATGCAAGAAGCAAAGCTGCCAATGGACCGCCGTTGAGTGCTACCGTTGCGTATCTTCCGTCACAACCGATGGTATCACTGTCTTCACCGTGTGCAGCAGCTCCATTTGTACCACGGGCGACACCTGCATTTTCACCATTTCCCGGACATGCACCAGTTCTACAGACTCCGCCCGGTCCCCTTCCTTCACCTCCCCCCTCACATCCTTCACGTACAGTTGAACATGGACCTCACCAAGCAACCCCCAAGATATAACCTATCGCGGAGTCCTCAGCAAAATCAGGAGTATCACCGGTTCCCATCACGTTGCCAGCTGAACATGCGGAAAGACGTACGCCTACTTCACCATCCGGATTATCGTTGACTGTCAAAGGCATTGTAGGAGAATATAGATTGGAAGCTCAGAGTATTGATCATGCAGGACCCATAGTGTATCTCATGGATCGCATCATGACAGTGGAATCCAATTTGGCACAACAACGTCTTCAAGATCAACAGTTTTGGACACAAATGGACCAGACAACAATTGACACCGTTTGACTGAAAAGAAGCCGTCGTAGCTGCATTTTGGTTTTGTGCTTTTCATTCCAATTGCAACTTTGCAACTGTTCAAACGTTTTCTGCAACATCCCACCCAAAACGCCTGGCTCGCAGTGTGATATTTGTTTTCCGTAATTGATTATATTCAGTTCTCCAGCTTAGTTTACGTCCGTTGTTCTACTCTATATGGTTCACGGTACTGCAACACACTGGCTTAAGTGTTATATAACTGTGATTTAATCAATCCATTTACTGTTTTCATCACTGCGTTCTATCTCAACCACCTGACCTACGTGTTCTACGCGTCGGAATCTCAGTTTTTGGCGAATTCTGCCCTTCGTCCATAGACAACTAATCAACGTTCATTTTAAACGGATTTGTGGATGAACAAGAATACAATCGATTTGTGTCCATTTCATTTCGTGGTATCCATGTTTCAATTGAAGTGCAGTTATCTTCACTTTTTAACACTCCAAAGTTATACTGTCCTTGCTCTATTTGTTCCACGCGTCGGCAACCCAGAAGTGTCACCTTCCTTATGAAGACATATGGATATATGTGTATACCGCTCTCCACACGCAAAGTGTTGCGCAATCTGCAACAAACAATTGATGTTCGTGAGGGACAAGGGCACGATAACTTTGGATTGCAACATATTCAATTATTTCGCTAATACAAACTTTGGATTGCATCATATTCAATCATTTCGCCAATAACAATTAACACCTTTTAATCTAACCATGTCCTTTCCATTTCGACTTTATTTATCGCGATTTCTTCGATCTACGTGGTCTACTTGCTCTACACGCAGTCTTTCAGAATTTGCCTTCCATGTGAAGGGGGTGCCCAACGGGCGAATGGTGCCCATAGGGCGAGGGTGGCCATGTGCCGAAGGATTTTATTGGCCGGGAACCCTACTTCTTACTGTCATTTTATGAGTTTTCACCTTCTCTTTCAAATCAATTTACAATTGTGAGGACAAGAGATCAATTTGAAGAGATCTAGAATATAGGAAGACCTATCACAAAAGTGCGCGGACACACATAGTTTGTGATGCTCGAACCAAGCAGAATGTCAAACACGGTAGGGACCTTATCGCTGCAGATGTGTGTACGATCTTGATTCATGTTTTCGATCATGCGCAAGTTGATACATGATTTTGATGCGTTTTCAATCTGGGTAATGCATTCCCTTGGCTCATAGCAAGCTCTTTGACATGTTAAGTCAATTTGTCGCTTTTCATTTCTACACGTCATTCGTCATAACACACCATGCGCTAAATGTACTGACAATTCTTGAACAACTCATTTCTTCTTTCGTGTTCAGCAGACTTTTTCGCGATATGGAACTCCATGCAAGAAGCAAAGCTGCCAATGGACCGCCGTTGAGTGCTACCGTTGCGTATCTTCCGTCACAACCGATGGTATCACTGTCTTCACCGTGTGCAGCAGCTCCATTTGTACCACGGGCGACACCTGCATTTTCACCATTTCCCGGACATGCACCAGTTCTACAGACTCCGCCCGGTCCCCTTCCTTCACCCCCCCCCTCACATCCTTCACGTACAGTTGAACATGGACCTCACCAAGCAACCCCCAAGATATAACCTATCGCGGAGTCCTCAGCAAAATCAGGAGTATCACCGGTTCCCATCACGTTGCCAGCTGAACATGCGGAAAGACGTACGCCTACTTCACCATCCGGATTATCGTTGACTGTCAAAGGCATTGTAGGAGAATATAGATTGGAAGCTCAGAGTGTTGATCATGCAGGACCCATAGTGTATCTCATGGATCGCATCATGACAGTGGAATCCAATTTGGCACAACAACGTCTTCAAGATCAACAGTTTTGGACACAAATGGAACAGACAACAATTGACACCGTTTGACTGAAAAGAAGCCGTCGTAGCTGCAATTTGGTTTCGTGCTTTTCATTCCAATTGCAACTTTGCAACTGTTCAAACGTTTTCTGCAACATCCCACCCAAAACGCCTGGCTCGCAGTGTGATATTTGTTTTCCGTAATGGATTATATTCAGTTCTCCAGCTTAGTTTACGTCCGTTGTTCTACTCTATATGGCTCACGGTACTGCAACACACTGGCTTAAGTGTTATATAACTGTGATTTAATCAATCCATTTACTGTTTTCATCACTGCGTTCTATCTCAACCACCTGACCTACGTGTTCTACGCGTCGGAATCTCAGTTTTTGGCGAATTCTGCCCTTCGTCCATAGACAACTAATAAACGTTCATTTTAAACGGATTTGTGGAAGAACAAGAATACAATCGATTTGTGTCCATTTCATTTCGTGGTATCCATGTTTCAATTGAAGTGCAGTTATCTTCACTTTTTAACACTCCAAAGTTATACTGTCCTTGCTCTATTTGTTCCACGCGTCGGCAACCCAGAAGTGTCACCTTCCTTATGAAGACATATGGATATATGTGTATACCGCTCTCCACACGCAAAGTGTTGCGCAATCTGCAACAAACAATTGATGTTCGTGAGGGACAAGGGCACGATAACTTTGGATTGCATCATATTCAATTATTTCGCTAATACAAACTTTGGATTGTATCATTTTCAATCATTTCGCCAATAACAATTAACACCTTTTAATCTAACCATGTCCTTTCCATTTCGACTTTATTTATCGCGATTTCTTTGATCTACGTGGTCTACTTGCTCTACACGCCGCTACCTCAGAGTGCCTTCTTTGGAAAGACCTGTCCATGAAGATGCAGGTGCGTATACACCTAATCCCAAGCATGAATTTCATTTTCGACTGAGTTCAACGTTGCTTATATTGACGTGATCTGCTTACTTCATTAGGCAGTCTTTCAGAATTTGCCTTCCATGTGAAGGCCTTTGTGTGTGTGTACACTGCTATTCACATGCAAAAAACTACAACTGGACATTTGATGACTATGCACGTTATGTTTTCCGAATTCATGCGCCAAAGGCTATGCACGTTATGTTTTCCGAATTCATGCGCCAAAGACTACTTAACAGCAGGGGGCTGCAGGGAATGTCATAGTTCTGCAGCCAACGAAGACGGCTATGACATTCTGTGATATCGATCCGGGACGCTGGATCGACGTACCTGCCTAATCATGTCTTTCCTTTTCCGCGATGGGATGTGGCTAACCCAAGAACCACCTTGCTGATTAATGATTTGGACCTGGTTTCACCTGTTTATCAAGGATGATGGACTCAGGAATTCTACCAGGCGTGTACAACCACATCGTCATTGCAGTTCACTTCCAAAAAATCAACAGTGTGTGATTGTGTGTGATTATCGATGCATAAAGCTAATCACAGCTAATCCATAATCCATCCACCCATGGATCTACTATTTTTGCACTGCCGCTCATTTCAGGGGTGGCACGACCTCCTCTCCACCGTCCGCAGCGCGCTTCATGATGGGCGTCTCCTGCCACGGTTCCGTCAAACCAATCCATGGACCATTGGAAGACTTTCTTTCTCAAGCATAGTCAGCATAGTCTATGAAATGATCTCTATTTAATGTCGCTAAAGCAATAATAAAACACTCACATTTTGATGGTTTATGCCACCGATAAAAAGGGTCAATTTGAGGATGGTCTTCTATTGCTTTACATTTGCTTTACTAACATTATATTGTAGTAATCCCCAAATAGATGGAAAAGTGAATCACCATGAAATTAGTTGGGATATAGTTTTCCAATGTTTTCCATCTATTTGGGGATGACTATATATCATTCTAAACCCTCTGGCATTCTCAAAGTGGCCGGCTGGAGAATCTTGTGGGGTCTCCGATGAGAACTCAGGGATCCCGAAGAATGGGCAAGTGACCATCAATACAACGTATCAAATTCTAGCACCAATAATTACAATAAAATACATAATGTCATAAGAAAGATACCAACGCACCCACAATGATAATTATACTGATAATAAGAATGATAATAATGATAACACTAGAGTTATATACATAGATTTGGCAAGAATAAAACAAAAATCACTGGTCCTGAAGATGGACGCTTCATAACGCTTCTATCTTCTTTTGGGCACTCCATGGCCTCATGTCACATCCCTCCTGGTCAGCGCCCCACTCGGCCCAGGAGCCGTCGTAGACGGCCCAGCGAGTCAAGGGCATGCCCAGCTGGTGCAACCCCAAACCGATGACGCAGGCCGTCAGCCCCGAACCGCAGGAGGTCAAGATCCTGGCGCCGGCTGCAGGTGCAAAACCTGAGATCCCACAAAGTTGCGCGACTGACTTGAGTCACCGCTGCAATGATAATGATAAAATATAATACGTTTATAACATAGGTATATGACTTACTGGTTGGTGGTTTGAAGCCCTGTGAAAAATATGAGTTCGTCAGTTGGGATTATCAATATTATCATTCCCAATGTATGGAAAAAAGTGTTCCAAACCACCAACCAGCTTATGTAAAGCATCTTGATCCAGCTGTCCATAGCTGTCCACTCTCATGGCGATGTCCAGCATCCGCCAGATTTGTTTCCCCACCTGGGACCGTCAGGAGAGGCGACATGGTCCAAGGAGACCCCCGCAGATTGCGCCACTTTCATCAGATCCTCTTTGGGCAGCATCATCCTCAGGTTTTTCAGGATTTTTCTGGGAGATTTAAGTGGTTGAGACCATCTGTTTCGCCAGCGAATATCTGAGGCTTCCTATCGTTTCCCATGGGTTTCCTCTGGGTTTCCCATGGGTTGCCTATGGTTTTCCTATAGTTTTTCCCTCAAGGAGCCGTTTTCTGCACCAAAACTCAGTTGCTCAGCCATCAAGGACCTGCAGAATCCCTGGCCATCCATTGCCATCATCCCATGTTGTTATCATAGATGGGCCGGGCGTATGAATGTGCATACACATTTCCATAGCTGGCAAGATAAGCTCATTTCTTTCAAACCAGCCCCCATAATCATAAATCATAAGTGCCATACATAGTAAACAATACGATATGAATAGAACATAATCCCAAATCTTTCGCCATCCCCCCATCCCCACAAGGTGGTGCCTCCAGCAATAAGTTGGTTTATAAACCCCATGAACTAAAGCGATACTCACCATACATTCTAGCTAACGTAGCTATAAACCAAGTTGGCCAACAATTTGGGGCACCACCAATAACAGTAATCCCCTCGTCCTATTACTAAACCCCCTCCTAATACTAAAAACTAGTGTCCATCTCCAATTTTTGAAAATTTTCAGTTTGGCCAATTTGACTTTTAATTGATCCCCTTTAGAAAACAATTTAAAAATCAACCTACCATTTGTGGGTTCCCCCCCCCTAATACTAAAAACTAGTCAACCCCAGGGTGTTTAGTATTAGGGGGAAGCTTCGAAATCCAATTTTGGGCAATATTTGAATTGCGTTACATAAAGAAATTTAATTGATTTTGAAATCGGAAAAAATAGTTTTTATTATTACGGGTTTTAATTTAGTATTAGGGGGAAGCTTCGAAATCCAATTTTGGGCAATATTTTAATTGCGTTATATAAAGAAATTTAATTGATTTTGAGATCGGAAAAAAAAGTGTTTATTATTAAGGGTTTTAATTTAGTATTGGGGTTCCCTAATATTAAATACCACCTTAATACTAAAAACTACCTGCAGTGTTTATTATTAGGGGGGTAGTATTAGGATGAAGGGATTAATTTATATTTATATATATATAATCTCATTATGATGTCAATCTCATCATGGTCCACAAAACCACAATGTTTTGACTATTTGGTGATTGGAATCCATGATGAACCAACAAAATTCGGCTGTCAATCAGCTCTACATCCTGATTTATAGGGTTTTTGCGGCAATACTCCCATCCCCCTCATACTAAACACCCCCAGAAACCATGGTTGATGTCGGGGATTCACCCGTTTCTGATTTTCCCAGAGGTTCCCGCTTTTTCCACATCTTTTTCTATATTTACAGGGTATACCAAACTGGTTGGTGGTTTCAACCCCTCTGAAAAATATTAGTCAGTTGGGATCATTATTCCCACTATATGGAAAAATAATAAATGTTCCAAACCAGACCATCCCCAAACCCATCCCCACCCGGGGAAAGCTCCCCCATCGATCCCAAGCTTCGTTCCCTTCAAGACGCTCCCCGCGGGCAGCGACACGCTGCGCGGCACGTGTCCCAGGCGCATCCCCGGCCGCGGCTCGGGCGCCTCGCCGTGGAAGCGCGGCGCCGGGCGGGCGTCCAGGTGGAGCGAGGCGCCGCTGCGGCAGTTGGCCTCGGGGAGCGAAAAAAAGGGGCGGCCCTGGCTTGGGAAAAAGTGGGGAAAGATGGAACCAAAAGGATGATCAATCTGGGTAAATTAAGGCCATTTGGGATGATTCCCCTTATTAACCATGATTCCAGTGAGGTCGCAGTGAGGTCGTTATAATTTACCCAGATCAATGATGATGTACAACCAATACATGCCTGAAATTGAGTAGGCAATTTAAAAACCAACAAAAACATACAAAAACCAGGAGGGGTGGGAAGTTTCACCACCAGAGAGGACTTGACCAACAAGAATGAGGACTTCACAACAGAATGGGCTCGCAATGGACAATTATCTCTCCTCTTATGCCTCTCACATTCCCTGGCTTCAGTCGGGTCTTCCACAACAATTCCTTAACCTGGCGAGGCACTATGACCTGGGACTTGTCCCACACAGCCTCCTGCACTTTACCTGAGCCCGGGGGACCGTCGTTTCTCCGAATGCTTTTCCTTGTTGAGCTACGGGGGCGTCAACATATGTGTTCAACTGAGAAAATGGGATGAATTGACCCACCTACTTACCTTTGGGTTTGATTGTCTTGGCAACCACTTCCCACCAAAGCTTAGAGGAATGAAGGCTTGACTTTGCACAAGCTGAACATTTTGCTGTTTCAAAATGCAAAGTTTTGACCGATCAGTAGGATCAGTAGGTGCAATCCTTCATGCAACACTCTTGGGCTTTCCAATACCCTTTCCCCTAGACTCCTACCAAAGAAGTACCATTGTTGCATATTATAATATATTGATAATAGTATCATTATTACTGTTGTTACTATTGAATTTGACGATACTAGCATCAAAATTGATTAATATCAATACAAAATATATATCATGATATTTTAAGATACAAGAATCATCTGAAAATGCAACCAATTCATACAAATGTCATGTCATTTGTTGTGAAGTTTTAAAATACAAAAAATGATCTGAAATACAACCAATTCATACAATTTTCATGTTTTATGATGTTTAAGACACAAAATTATCAAAAAAAATCTGAAAAAAACGGATATAGATTTTTTCAGAGACTTGCAGATAGAAAATTCAAGTGACTTCGACTGCATATACGCACGCATTTGTTTTTTAAAAGAAAAACCCACGGGTTCCTTACGAGTTTCTTTTGTTTTCGAATACTTTATCTTTATAAAAAAAAAAATCCAAAAACGCAAGAAACTGAGGAGATTTTGCAAAACGAATATATATATATATATATATATTTCAATTTCACTAATAGGAAAAATAATTGCCTATCTGCTAAATCGCCGACTCGTAGGATAGAAATACGCCAAAATTTCCGAGTATTTTCTATCTGCAAGATCGTGACTATAATCTATCATTGGCTATCAATAATCCACAAAGTACTGCACTGGTGTACATTAGCATCGGTATTACTGCTGTGGGTAAAACAATGTTAAACTACCCATGACTGCGAATGGCGTATTATACCACCTATAAAAATGGTGATGACTGGGGGATGGTTTATGGCATTGTTTCACCCACATTAGATTGCTATAGTTCACCACTGGATGGCAAAAAAACAATAATAAACTATAAACCATCTTATTTTTCACAATAAAACCACTATTCACCACTGGATGGTAAGAAAAAAACCTCTGGTAAACTATAGTTTACTATGGAAAATCACCATTTTTCTTAGGGAAATCAACCATTGTTTGATTAGATTGCTTTATAAAACCATATTTTAGTAAAATTAACTAAACGATTAGTTTGTATGGTTTAAAAATAAAAACCATATAAATCCACTATTATTACCCTCTGGTTATGACTAACATAGCCATGGAAAATCACCATGCTATTAATAGGTAAACCATCTATTTCGATTAGGGCCATCTATACCATGGCGAACTGTTAAATAACCAGAGGGTATAGAGTACAATCTCTTTTTTTTTGGATGCACCACTGGATCCACCAACCCCAGCCACTCCAGCGCGCCATCTTGGCCGGGGCCGCCGGTTCGGGCGGCGGCCCTTCCTCTAGGGGATAGCCTCCGGGGCTATAAGGGCCACTGGCGGTACCGTGGTGAAACCTGTGAAAAACTATGGGAAAATCTGGACAAAATCCCAAGAACAAATATAAGATAGCTCAGTTGCCTTATAAGTGGTTTAACTATGGTTTATGGTAGATATAACTATAGTGAATGGTGGTTATAATGATTTAATTATAAACCAACTTATAACTGGGGGGACACATACTGTGTGGGAACAATGAAAAAAAATCAAAAAAAGGGCAGGGAAATATGTTTCACTTTCCCTTATTGTTTGGGGAAGTTGACAGTTTTCGCAGAAGTTGTAAGCTTGATTGTTCTCGCGAGAATATACAAAAGAGGCTGTAATCCGGTAGGGCCTAGGGATATCATTGTGCAAACTCATCTCACACCTGTCACACATTCCCGTAATCCACTCACCAAATCCCCGCCAGCCCAGCCATGGCCCATCTTCAGCCAAACCCAATTCCATTTGGTGACCGAGCAGCTCAGTTCATTCCACTTGATGGGGTCCAGAATATAGTTTACTATAGTTTACTTAATCAACAACCTCCAAACTATCTTTCTTTCCTACCTTTTCGCGCATCTGCATCTTCTTTCTTCTGACTCTTCTCTCTTCCAATCTTTCTCTTCTCTCTGACCCTTTCCATCTCTGCTTTTCATCTGTCCATATTGTCGGAAGTTTGACTTCTAAACTTCCTTCGAATGTTACCCATTAATATCCATTGTAATATTGTAATCCCAGTATATTACCCAGTAATATCCAGTAGTATCCATGGCAATCTCACATTGTTATCCCACTATTATATACCATGTAATGTCAACCCCGGATTAATAAACCATGGTTTCATAATTAGGGGGTACTCCTCCAATAGTCATAATCTGATACTTAAATGGTACCATCCCAATTAAACAGCCTAGGGATTTATTAATCCAGGGTTGACATGCATATCCAGTGTTACCACATTCTTCATACTACCCGTAGCCCAAACTCCCCCAAACCCAGTCTCGGCCTAGCTCCTTCCAGCGCGGCAGTCCGCCGTCCAGTACTGCCACCTCTGCGGGGTGCCCAAAGGCGACCTTCAGGGTGTACCTGGACCGCGGTCGTTGGCATCGCAGCCGAAAGTTTCGGCGACTTTCCATGACTTCCCCCCATTTGTTCGGAGGAAAACTATGGAAAAATGATGTGAAAACACCCCCCATTTTGGGATATCGACCATGGTTTGTTTTTGGGCGATTTTTTTCCAACCAGAATGTTTTTGCACTCCAGTATAATCGAACATCGATATAGAAAACACACCATCTGTAGATCATGGTCTGATCGGGAAACCATCGGTGTTTCATATCTATCTTAGTTAACCCCAAGGTAAGCAACAACAAATGGTGAGTTTCCTAATTTTATCCACAAGAATAAGGCGTTATGTAGTTATGTAATCAAACACCATTGAGTGCACAATAAGAAAAGGGAGTTCAACAATGGAGGCGGGAATTGGCACCAAAAATGAAAGCATGGATCATCGGATCAAAGAATTGGGATCAAAACTTGGTTAAAGCACAGAAGCAGCATCCAAAATGGAACCCACTTGGCCGTGGCATGATCACCCTATGCCCTGGAAACCCCGCCGGCCCTGCGAACCCAGTGTGGCCCAGGTGCCAAAATCTGGGCGAAGAGAAAACGCCCAGGCGGTCGTACGCTACCACCCTGGTCCCTGCCATGCTCGCCAGAAGTAATGACTGGATGACTGGATAGTAGGATACAATCCCCCCCAAATATTAAACACAAGTTTTAAAAAGATCCCTCAAATGAATAGATTGAATACTAGATCATGGTTTCCAAGGGTATTTGATGAGGGTTGAAGAATCCAATTATCAACATCATTCCACTATTGTGTAAACGACAAGGGTTATAGTTATAGGCATTGTCATTTGACGACGCCCTTGACGACACTGACCATACCATTCACCAAGATTGTCCCATGGCCATCCCCAGCTCCCGCGCAGCTTCGGCCTATAGAATCTTTCTCGTGACCGCGAGCTCACAAGTCGTCATGCAGGCGATTCAACACACCCGCAGGTTGCACATCTTGAAACGATGGGAGTTTTTTCGCGAAAGGTGCATGGAGACCAACATCAACATCCATCTCGAATCGTAGTGGCTATATGATTTACAATGAAACCAGGGGAGTCCCTAAGGATCCCCTATAACATTGAACTATCAATGGATTGGTTTAAGGGAAAATCTACAGGAAAGCCCCATGGAAAAAACCTCCGCGCATCCCTACGAGAAAGATGACGAAGCCAATCGTTTCAACAATCCCCACTCGATGTTTGTATACCCGGCCTGGTAAACATACATATATAGCTATTGAAAATGGCCATAGAAATCGTTGATTTACCCATAAAAAATTGGGATTTTCCAGAGGGTACCTCTATTTGAGATGATGTAAAATGAACCCCAATGCTTCGTTCATAGTCAAAAATGGATGCAAAAAATGGCGTATCCATATAATCATCCATTGTTGTTGCTTCTATCCCCATTATTAACCATATATTTCCTGATTTTTCATAATAGATGAGACCCAAGATGGAACCAAAATCCACTCGAAAATCCACCGATCAACCGTAGACGGAACCGTGTGCTCCGGGTGCTGCTCTCAGAGGGTTGGGCACGCCAAAAGCTGTTCCACGGCCGCATCCATAATCTCGTCTTCATCCTGGTGATCACCAAGACATGCCGTGGCCAAGCTACGGATATCCGATATGGTAAACTAACATATTACCATAGGAAGATTTTTGATGGTTAGCTATGGTTAACATAATACTAACATGATTTTCCATATCCTCTGGTTAACAGAACAGCTATGGAAAATCATCATTTTCAATGGGTAAAATCATCTAGGTATGGACCTAGCTGAGCCATGTTCATCCATCTTCCATGGCTATGTTAGTTTACGGTATCGGGTATATGAGCATAAATGAGCCACGAGAACTAGTCAAGAAAAATAAGGACTCTAATTGCTTAATGTGGCCAAAATTGAAGTTTCAGAAGAATTCATGGTAATCGAATGAGCATTTGGTTTTGATAGGGATCAGCCAAAATGAAGATTTCTTCCAAACGAAATACACAAAGGATGGAGATTTGAGCTTCTAGGAAATGGTTGGCAAACAATCGAACCCAACGGAATTCAAACTTGCCCACTGGTAATCTACCATAGCTATAGAAAATCACCAGTTTTGATATAGGTAAATCATCTCTAAATGGACAATTCTGCATAGCATGTTAAATCACCGGAGGGTTTTTCCAAACCTTTGAAAAATAAACAAGCCAAAAACGGCAGTTATATAAGCACACCAATGGGATTGGCGACATAGCTATGTCCAATAAGTTGGGAGCTGACCAACCAAAGATACCTGTGGAGTTGCTCAAAAGTCCGCCCCCTCACTAGCAATAGCAGCTCCATTGTTCATTTGTTTCCAGCATTGGTTTCTGGCTGCCGTTTCTAGCTGAATCCGATGATCCTGAAGCCAATATCATGCCGCACCCCAACTGATTCCCCAACCGAAGCTTAAGTCACTTAAGTCTCTGATTTTTTTACCCAAAGTCACATGGATTTTTGAGGCAAAAAAAGCATAAAAAAGCCGTCGGCACTTCCCGAAACGGTCCTCTGGCCAGTCGCTCTGCGCAGCACTGCGCAGGTACTTCATCAGCTGACCAGGACGATGCCAATAGGAGACAATCAGTTCCTCAGATCCAGAGAATCCAGAGGACATTCCCATCCTCATCAGCCAGAATCTCTACCCCAATCTCCACCATCATGTAAAAACAAAACATACTATATATAGACTTATATATATATATAACATATTATAAGTAAAAAAAACTATGTATAGAATTCCAGTTATGCCAGTTATGTCAACAATCAAAAACCATCGAAATTTTTACCAAGTCTCCACATCTCCATCTCCCACTATGGTGGTGGCAAAGTATCTCCCCCTTCCCCCGGCTTGGAGCACCTGGCGCAAGCAGCTGCCCGCGGCGCGCCGCGCCAGCTGCACCGAGGTCCCGGCTGAGACGAAGTGCACCACGGCCACGGGGCCCTGGAGCTGTCCCCGCGCCAGCTGCTGCGCCAGCAGCGCTGCGGAGGCCTTGCAGAAACGCCGTGGCACCAAGGTGCGAATGCTGAAGGCGGTCAGGTAGGCCTGCAGGTGGAAAGATGTGGAAAGGGAGGCATGGGAGATGATAGGATATGATTCAAAAAATGATTCTATAGATGATTCTATATAGATGATTTGATAGATGATTCTGGGATTTTCCTTGGTCTGCCAGAGAACACCAGAGGTTATCACTAAAATATTGCTGGTGAAACTTCCGACGAATCACGATGTTTGGTTCAAGCATCATCCCCCATGTTGGTCAAATCACCATCCATATTGGTTAAATGAGCATGTTTGTTGGTTAATGTCCCTTTGGTTGTTGATTGAATCACCATTTTTTGTTGGTTCAATCCCTATTTTTGTTGATTAAATCGTATCTTTTGTTGGTGATGGTGAAATCCCCATGTTTGTTGAGTTTTCTGCCCAGCGGCTCGCCACACACTCTTAGCTGAGAGCTCCATGCTCTCGAAACCATCCAAAACCTGCGAGACTGAACAAATGCATACAAATGCGACGGAACCCTTAAGAATAATTTGTCAATTGTGGATAAGTCATGGATACCCGCCATATCTATCAAAAAAATCATGGCAGAGTACAGTAACCCCCAAACCTCCAAGCCAACAGTTGAAGCTGTTCTATCTTTTTTGGGAGTTGCTATGCAGGACATGTAAATGTTCCATTCATATTAAAATAAAAATATATAAATACCAACTCAAAGGGTTGTCCCTCTCTCTGGATTCATTTGTTCGGGAAAATCTGGAAATCCTGTCTGAACCATGTTCTTCCCAGTGAACATAGGCAACATAGGATCTGCCCAAAAAGGCTTTGTCTCAAAATGGGCAATGCCCCAATGTAAAAGGTTTCAAAACATGAGAAGGGGACACTACTTTTCGAAACAAATCCTCGCAATATATCCATGGTCTTTTCAATCTTGCTTGTAAAAAATAATGACATTCCTTAGACTTGCACTGTATACATACATATATACATATTATAATGTATATATATATATATGAATATATGTGTGTGTGTAAACATCATATCTGTATATAATATATACATATATATCATATAATATATATATATATAAAATTATATATATATTTATGTACCTCTCTCTCTCTTGTAGTTTTTAAAAAAACTGAAAATATGTAGTCAAATGGAATCATCATCCCACTTTTGAGGAATCGAAGTCACCAACCATTGAACATCTTTAGGGCTTGAGGATTTCCAGTCTTCCCAAAGTTGGTCGCCTCCTTCTTCAAATCTGCCAACTGCTGGTGCTCCAAAAAGGACTTTGCCATCCTGAGTGCGACATGGTTCAAGCCTGTGGCAATGGAAAATGGCAGGGACCAGTCACAGAAATATCAGCATTTCAAGTAACTATGGAAAATCATGGAAAATCCCCATTTTTCATGGAAAAATCCACTATTTCTATGGCCATGTTCAATAGCTATGTTTGACATAACCAGGTTGGGTAATCCCTGTGGTTCCACCATGTCTCACCCAAAAATCCCAAGGATCTGGGCGGATGGAAAGTGTAGCAACGCCACGTGCTCCGCGGAGCACGTGGAGGGAGCTTGTTGCAGCAGCATCCCCTCCAAGACCAGGCGGCCACGGGACATCTCCCAGATGGCAGGAGCCTCCAAGAGGAAGGTGCCTCCAGATGGCGGCTGAGCCGGGAACATCTTCAAAGCATTCATCTAATTGGTGGTTTTTCGCCAGCCCCCTGAAAATATGAAAGTCAGATTGGATCATCATCCCAACTAGTGGGGAAAATAAAAAATGGTCCAAACCACCAACCAGATATAGGTTTTAGCAAGATATACTGAGAAGGATTTCCAGCGAAGATGTCTTAGGATATCAAGGCAACTGAGCCACCGATAGTATGAAAGCGATGTAATCTTTGTCCGATACATATGATATTTCCCATCATTTCACATTTATTAAAACATATTAACACTACACAAGTAGTATCTGGGCAATGACCCATCACCGCCCATCCCGCTGCCCATCATTCCTCTTTTCGAGACCGACTGACCACTTCCAAGACCAGGTCATCCACATCATAGACAACCAGCACAGCAAATAAAAATTAGACTTTCCGGAAGGCAAAAAAGGTAGCATCCTCTTTCTGATTCATGTTTTGCTCATCTCCCATTGAAATTCAGTCGCTGGTATCACTCTCAAAAATGGCCAAGCTTCAACGCACATCAGCAACTTTTTTAGAGGTGTAAAATGAAGAGAAACTGCGTCAAGGCACTCCCAGGATCACGTATTCATATGGCTTCAGGTGTCACATTATTGCATTCTAAATCACCTAAAAGTAGATTAAAATTCTACAGATTATGTCAAATTGCTAGGGCCACATTCATCTAAAGTCAGCCACATTCATCAAATTAAATCAACATATATTCTAAACATATTCTGCCCTCTGGTAAACTAACATAGCTTATTGGCAAATGGCCCATTTATAGTGGATTTATGTGGATTTACCCATGAAAAATGGTGGATCTTTCCAGTTCGCTATGTTAGTTTACCAGAGGGTAGACATCATCCCATCCTCCCCACCCGCTCCACCCGCCTGCTGTGGCTTGGTCCCTGAGCTCGGAACGTCGCTGGAAGAATTGCCGCAGGTAGCCACCCACCAGAGGCGTCGTGGTGCGCGCCATCATGTGCCCTGCGGAGATAGCTGCGTAGCACATGGGATATTTACCCCCTGGTAAATTAACCAGTTGGACCCTGATTTTATATATTTTATCACCAATTTGTTAGAGGAAACTAATATGAACCAACCCCGATGACTACCAGGGTCTATGTTAATTTACTGGAGGGTAGTGGATATAAAATGGATACTGTATCCACTATACCCATCACATAGCCAGATTTTTTACACTGATAAAATCTGATAAAATGGATATGATGGGTATCAGATAATATCCACATGGGTACCATATCATGGATACATATCAGATACTCTGGGACTCAGTGTTTTTGTGATGGCTATGTGATTTTTGTATCTGATAATATGGGGAATCTCAAGATCTTAAAATGGAGATACATTTTTGAGGGCATATTTTCTAGGGATTTAATTTGGCCTTCTATATGGTAGGTACCTCCAATTTAGGCTCCTGAAAATGGCCATTGATGTGATGTTATTGTATGTTATTGTGGTACGGCCAGGCGGAGTCCAACAAATGGCATGTGAAGGGGCGTATCAACCAGAACAACTTGAAGTTTACAATTAGGCTTGCCGCATTGAGAGTTTTTTCCTTTTGATGAAGTTGAATGAGATTGGGATGGAACAAAGATATGAAAGCCAACTAACCATGGTGCTACCAACTGCCGCCACTCAGAAGGCTCCAGACGCCCATAACAAGGGTTGATGACGGTAGAATTTCAAGGCTTAGTTATCCTCTGCCTTTGACTTCAATGTGATGAAAGAAGAGGAGAAGAACACCTTCGGCCCGGCCGAACATGGTTGTGGCTCAAACTGGAGCCCCCCACAAAGACAACAAAATATCCCCTATTGCGCCTGTTGCGTATTCCCCAAGTAGTGGATTTCCCAGTCACCCTCATCCCCAGCCTATCACCGGTGCACAAATGGACAGTGTCGCCACACCTGTGGCTGCCCCAGCAGCCAGTCCGGTAAAGACCGCTGCAGAGGCCAGTTGCAACTTGGAAGGTGCGGCCCTGCCACTGTCTTCGTCTTTAGTGAAGGGCAACGGTTCTTGCCGACCCTGGCAGGGAGCGGCTGGAAAATGAAACCGGGAAACCCTTGTCTCTTAAACCCCATCAATATAGGGGGGGTCCTCTAAAATGTCTTATATAAATAATCAATAAATCAATTCTGGGATGGCAATATCAATTCATGTCAGAGCAGGTCGGCCCTTTTGAGAGGTATCTCACCAGCTGGAGGAACAGTTATTGGAAGTTGTGGGATCCAACTGCGGAAAGGTTGCCACCCGTCTCTCAACTTCCACGCAAGGTGGTGCCACCCAGTGTTAAGTTGGTTTATGACCTAACTATCATCATCATAAACATGCATAAACTTGAATCCATAGTTAATTCAGTGGAGACCAACGTAACCACCCAACTTGGCCCGGCCGAACTCCCAAAACCACCATCGGATCCCGCCTGATTCACCAAGCCCTTCATCTTCCGCGCAAAGCGCGAGAGCAGCACCACGCTGTGCCCCCGGGCCCGGAGTCCATGTCGCGCGGCGCGCGGCACGGGCGGACAGGGCAGGAGCCGCGGGGGCTGCACGAAGCCAACGAGATGAACCATGGCGACACATTTGAAAGGGCTTGGGGGAAGGAAGTGATGGCATTCCTGATATTTCCTGATGGTTGGTGTCATCACCCATGGGAAGATGGGGAAATATGTCGAAAAGAAGCCAATGGTGTCACTGGTGATCCAATGGACTGCCGGAGGCCACTGGCCACTTCTTCATAGCCTTCCAACACATTCCGATATCGTGAGTCAATGCCAACCATAACCAGAAGCTGGTCACGTTCTCTTACGTCATCTCGCAAGCCAACAATGAACGCTACTGAAGGGACAAGGGCCCCTCCGAGCATTGAAAAATCAACCATTGCTTCCAAACTTGCGGTCGGTCATGCAGCTTGCATGGCAGGAACCAACACCACCCCACCCAAAATAACACTGGCATTTCATCCCAATCACAATCGCATCTAAATTGACCTTCAATGGAAACAGATGTTCAACATACACAGGTGAACTATGATGCCAAAAAATCTAGGGAACATCGACTAACCAGAGTTGGGTTCACTAAAAATCTAGGGATTATCTTCCAACCAGAGTTCGGATATAATTTAAAATGTTATTGTCATCTACCTGTTGGTGTTCATTTCGGGAGGAACCCTCTAGCAATCAGCCAGCCAGTGGGAGATGGGAAAAGGACATCCATAAACTATCAGGTTGGGAAACTCTCATTAGCTCCAGTCCATTAGTGGAAAAAATAGAGAATACGGCAGTCCAACCATAGTTCCTATGATATAGGTACCGTACCCGCTCAGCACTGGATATTTATTTTTAGTCAAATGAAGCTTCAATGGACATGAATGGATATCAACATGTATTCTTATGTATGGTTAATGGGTATCAACTAATAACAATATCAACGAATTATATAATTAAATTCAATTAACCAATTAATGAATGGATATACCCATCTGGCTAATCTATATCCATATCCATATCCATATTGGATATATCCAATTAGCCCCAGGATTCGATTTAATCATGATTAATCTGTATCAATGGATGATTCGACTGGGGCTTTCCATCTGGCTACGCCATCCCAGGGAGTCCTGGCTCGATCTGCAACGCCGCCATGGCTGCTGCGAAGGTCTCCTCATCCGGCAGCATATGCGGCACACCTGGCGGTCCGTCCGCCCTTTGCGGTGCCGACGTTGCGCGAAGTCTTGGGTCAATTCTTGGGGATTCGGAGCCCGAACGATTTGAAAGCGTTGTTCATAGTTGTTTTTTTGATTTCAAGACACACAACAACAAAAAAAAAACAAAACATCCACTTAAAGGGAGATTCTAAGCCAAAACATCATAAAATCATATAAAATCCCCAATGTTCACCCCGCGAATGGACCCAAACAAATTTGGGACTCAAACCCCGGAAACTCAAATGAAAATTGTCAGGAATAGGCGCGGGGATCATTTTTGAATGGTTTCTTTTTCCTCTCCGGGTTGGGATGATGCGATGATGCGATTGAAGTGGCACAAGGATCCATCATGATCCATCTATGTCATATCCTTCTCAGCCTCTCGGGTTCTACAACCACACTCTTGGTTCTTTCTGACTCCAAGCCTCACAGGTTGATGGGCAACTCATGTGCCCAGGAGCTCAAAAGGCCTTCAAAATCTTGAAAATCTGTGAGAATGTACCATCAAGGGGATCCTGGCAGAAGCTGCCTGGTTCAACCCATGGCTTGTGAAACCTGGCCGGTGGATTCTGCTCACCAATGGAGCTCCTGACCTCACCACACGGCTTTGTGGATTTATCCCCCTGGCAATTTGGAGGGGAAAAATCTATGTTTTTTATGCATGAGAGTCTGGGATACCCTATGTTAGCCAATGTTCAAACAAACCTGCAACATCCTGCAACCATGAAATTGGTGAAATGGACATCTATCATCTATCTATGTGCAAAGGTCTGTGATCACAGTCCGCTTCGGGCGAAGCCTTCTTCCTGTGGGCAGTTTAATCTTGATGAGTATATATATATATATGCATACTATAGTTTATATCACACACACATGTATCACATGTATATATATATATAATATTCTCTCTCTCTCTCATCATGGGGATTCAAACCAATCGAAAAACGTATGTAATGATTGCAATGTATAATGTAATATTAATGTATAATAGATGGTTGATAAATCCGTATAAACCCGTTGGTTGGCGATTAGGATTCGCCCCTTTTTTTTGCCCAAACACTATCATGGTGACTGCAATGAGGGATTGGTTGGATTATATAAACAGCCTTTGACCCATTGATTGATGGCTTACCCTCTGGTAAACTGTCAATAAGGAACTGGAAAATCACCATGTTGAATGGGTAGTCATCAACTATTTCTATAGCAATTTTCAATAGCTATGTTTGTTTACCAGAGGGTAATCATGGTTTAACGTTCCCGTTTACTATCAGATTGTCGATGATGTTTCTGATATAGAAAAATGTCACCGTTGTCCAATGGAATATTCCCAAATATCATATTTCAATGGATTGGTTTAACATCTAAACCGGAAACCATGGCTTTTACCATCAAATATAGGGGGGTTCCGGTTTCAATTTTCCCATCATCCTTAATTCTATGAATATGATATTCCCATTTAATTCTCATTACTTTACCCTCTGGAAATCAAACGTGGCCTGGAAAATCCCAGAACTTTTTATCCATCCATCGAGGCCTGAAGGGCATTCAAAATGGATCTAAATGGGATAAATAATAGATCATAATTGATCTATAATTTGCTAGAATTCCACTGCACTATGATGATTCATCTATGTTCATCTATGTTCATCTAATCCCATATAGAATGGCCATTCAAAGATCACGGATTCCTACATAGAAACGGTGGATTTCCATTATCGCAGGTCGCTGATCTATAAATGGATCTTCTTTTTTAAGATTCACAATCTATTTCATGTTTATGTTCATCTTTTTCTGGTGGGTTTTGGCCAATGGTTTAACCACCATGATTTCTGCGGCACGGCGCCGCAAGGTCCTCATCTGCAACTGCTCCACCATGCTTGGCACAAGTTGCCATCGCGCCCCTAGTGTCAAGGCTTGTAGCTCTAAGGCCTGGCCGTTCAAAATCTCCGGCAAAAAATGGTGGTTTTATGGTGGTTGAATGAACATTTTTCTAGATGAAACATAGCGCTATATAGCGTTAGAATGCGTTAGAACCGTTGGATAATGTTACATGTTACAGATTCTCAGCCATTTCAATCCCATATTTCTCTCTCCATGCTGGTCAAATCAACAGAAAGGTCAGCTGCACCTGCGTCAGCAGGTTGCCCTGCGCAGCTTGCGCTCGGCCCAGCTGCAGACTCCACTGCCACTGCTGCTGTTGGAGGCAGCTGGTCATGGCACTGCTCAAGGTGACCACGTCTCCTGAAGCCACGGCGTCCCGGTGATTGAAACATGAGGTCCTTGGCAAAGTTGGTGACAAGTAGCTCGTTTGGAGTGATGAAATCACCATAGTTATATAATGTTATATAGGTTACAACTGGTGATTTATAACCATAAACTTAGTTTTATAACTTACGAAGATTTATACTGGTTGGTGGTTTCAACCCCTCTGAAAAATATTAGTCAGCTGGGATGATTATTCCCAATATATGGAAAAATAAAAGCCATGTTCCAAACCACCAACCAATATATATTTATGGCTTAAATATATCTATAGTTTGGTGGGCTCACAAACCCATCTCGCGAGTTGTTTTTGAAGCTTGGAACACTTGATGTGAACATAAGGGAGGGTTCTTAAATTGGGGAATCCCCGAACCACAGGTTTCAATACTAAAATGATCCAATTTTTGATGATTTGGGGGTACCCCAATTTTTGGAAACCTCCATAGGTGAAGCTTGGATGATGACATAGTCGCAAAACGGTAACGATTTACAAACATGGGGGGTGGCATTTATGATTAGAATGTTCACTAGTTATTTTGGGGACCACACCTGCTGGTAAATTTAGACTAAGTTTTTAATCCTTTGAAACCCTGGAAATAGATTGGAGAAACTTACAAAATATAAAAACACAAAAAACTATATGCAAATATGTTTTCATTAGCAAAAACCATCCCCCAAATATAAATGGTACCATCCATCATGGCAAAAAATAAATGATCCCCCAGTCATCACCATAAATGGGTCCTCACCCTCCACCAGGTGTCCCCAACTCCTCTTGGGCCCAAGAAATTTAAGGTTTTCATCCAACTACACGTGGCCATGGCCACGCTGCAAATCACCGCGTTCGGCTGGAAGCCTCTGAGAACCTGGCGCATCTTTGGCCAATGGTGGGTGATGAGTAGATACCCTCTGGTAAACCAAGATAACTATGGAAAATCAGCATTTGGAATGGGTAAATCAACGATTTCTATGGCCATTTTCTATAGCTATGAGAGGGTAACATGAAGTAAACCTAATGTAAGAAACCAATGTGATGAGGTAAACCCGACTAGTACCTAATTCTTAGCACATAATTACATGATATGGTTTAGTACCTTTAATATCCTTTAATAAGGGAAACCCAATGTCATAAAGCCGTAGCCATCCCCAATAGAGGTTACCCTAGACATGGGATGATGTAGTAAAATGACCACCTTTTTTTTTTCCGCACGCCTTTTTCGGTACAGAAGCGCGCTGTGAGACGTGCTTGGCTCAAGGCAGCCGGCTTGGGGCAGCCGGCTCGGCCAAATCGAGGACATCGGCCAAGGGCGGGCCATCATCTCCCGCAGGCTGCCACGGGTGGCGCCAGCAGTCGCACCCAAGCGCAGTGGCGTGCTGGACCGCCACGCTCAGTATCCCCCACCAACGTCGCAGCCATCCGCTGCGGGCGGCGGGTCGCACCGCAGGGGCAACGCGGCGCGCGCGATGGTCAACCAGGAGGCGCATGAGTTCGCGGCACTCCCCACTCCAGCGACCACCGAGCTCAGTGGCGAGGACCAGCAAGCGCTGCGCGCCTCGTTGGAGCAGCTCTGGGTACGCCCGCTGTTTTCGCTGGCGCGCCGCGGTGATGGCGACCGCGTCATTGTCCGCCGCTCGGGGGATGGGCGCGCCGCCTCGGGTGAGGGCGGAGACGAGGGTGGCGTCGCAGCAGAGCGCCTCACCAAGTGGTGTGGCGCCGTAGATGACGAGGTCGAGCCGTCGTCGGTCGGTGCTGGAGACACCTGGCACGTTGAGGGACGCAATCCACTGCTGTGGGACGACGCGGCCGTCAGCGCCTATGGCCTCGCGCGCAACCCGCACCCAGGCACGCTCGACGACTGGCGCGCGTCGCGCCAAGGCGCCCGAGCGGGGACAGGCGAGCGCGTGGTCGCCGTATGGGTCTAGGGGCCCGCCACAGCCATGCCCTCGGCCGTCGACGCCACAGGTGGCGGCAGTGACTGGCAGAGGTAAGCGGAGCCGGCGCCGGAGGGCGATGTTCATGGCCGGGGGAGGCAGTGTGGTGCCAGGGTCAGATGGCACTGCGAGAAGCCATGCCCCGGCGCCTGGTCCAGCTTGGGAGCGGAGGAGGGCTCGGTGGGTGGGGGACAAGGAAGGCAACACGCACTCCTGTCGGTGGTAGGTCGTGACTGCGACAGAAGCGGGGTGTTGCCATCCGTGGCGCCACCAAGCAGGCTCACGGTCTGCCAAAGGAGGTGGTGGGGCGGCGTCGCCGATCAGAGAGGTCCAGGGGGGGCGGTGTGCCCAGCCATGAAGGTCAAGGTGCCGGCCTGCTTGGTCGGCTTGTTGGAGGCACGCTGCCACCGCAGCCGGCCCGTGTTCAAGCTGTGTGACAAACTCTTGGGCGAGGGCGGGTGCCCGGGCATGGATGACAGGAAGTAAGTCGGCCCACGCCGCCCAGTACGCAGCTTCTTTGGTGCGCGTGGCGGAGTACAGGCCTAGCCCGCCCATTCCTGGGCAGCGCCAGGGAGCCCATTAGGTTCGCCAAGGAGCGCTGCGAGGGCGCCGGCAATGGCCGTGTCGTGGGCGGTCGCGTAGCACGTGGTGGCAGAGGGAGGGATCGTGCGCAAGGAATGCTGCGCGCGTGGTGCGGCGCAGAAGGTCAGTAACAGCCACGCCGATTGCAGGTCGGGGAGTTGGGGCAGCTCGTCGAGAAGGTGCTGGTGTTCCTGGAGCCGGGCTTCCAGATGGGCTGCGATGTACTCAGGCGATCCAAGGGGCGTCCCAACGGCGACAAAGCCTCGAGCGGCTGGCTCGCGATCGCTGCACCAAACCGCGGGCCCCAAGTCGGCCAAGTCGGCAGGGGCTGCCTGCGGCAAAGACCCATAGATGCGAGTCTTGCCTTGGTTAGTGCTGACCCCGGCGTGGGCTGCGACCGCTCGGGTGACGGTGTTGTAGGCGCTGCGCGCTTGGGGCGTGGGGCAAAGGATGTAGAGGTCATCCAAGAAGGCGGCCAAGGTGGCGGTGGGAGGCAGCACCTGCGCCGCTGCTGCCAGGGCGCGGTGCTGGGCGAGGGCGTACAGCGCCGGGGCAAGGCTGTCGCCTTGCTCGAGCCCTTCGCCCTGTTCCAAGATGTGCGGTTCGCCTAGCTCATCTCGCCACAGGTAGGTGGATGTGCTGCCATAGAAAGCTTGGACGAACGGCAACAAGGAAGGGACCAAGGCGGAGACTTGGCTGAGGACTGTGGCCCTGCTGACCGTATCGTAAGCGGCGCGGCCGTCTATGCTGACGACCACGGTGCCGGGGTCGGTTTCCAGGGAAGCCCGCAGGAGGCCAGCGAGTGCGTCCGTGCCAGCACGTGCCTGGAGGGCATACTGGAACGGGCGGGTGAGCCGGTCGAAAGTGGCAGCGTAATGTCGCGCGAGGACACGGGAAGCCAGGCGCCGGAAGGCGTCGCCTCGGACGCCGCCGTCAGGCTTTTGGATGGCCGTGAGTCTGGCCAGGCGAAGGGCTGCCAGGGCGGGGGCTGGGAGGTCTGCGGCCGCTAAACGGGTGACAGCCACAGCCAGTAGGTCCAGCGCCTCCTCGTCCGCGAGGAGCGTCTTGTAGTGGTCCGTTGTGGAGCCGGACAGCCCGGCCGCTGAGCCTCGTTTCGCCGACCTGAGAGCGTCAGCCACGATCTGCGCAGAGAACCGTGTCGGCGGCGGCGCTGCTGCGCGCCGGACTTCTTCGGGGATGGGCCGGAGCAACGTTGGTGGACGCCGGGCGGGGTCCCGTAGTGCGGCAAGTGTGGCTGCCGTACCCGGGGCCAGAGGCAAGCTGGTCAGCGTGTGGCGCGCGCGGCTCAAATCGCCGGTGCGGACATGCGCGCACGCCCGCGCCCTGCGTCGCGCGGCTGCGGGCTGCGTCGACGGGAGGCGCGATGGGGCGGGGGTCGCTGCAGCTTGGTGCGCGGTGTTGAGAAGCATCTCCCAGCGCCCGGCCAAGTAGTCGTCGACACGCCCGAGAAGCGCGCGCCGCCCGGCCGTGCTTGAGCGGGCGAAGAGTTATAGCCGCGGGGTGAGGAGGAACAGGGTCCATGCACGGCTTGCTTGGGTGGCCGAGGTGGTGGACGCGATGACCCGGAGGGGGATGAGATAGGCGCGGATGGCCGGACTGTGGAGGAAAGGCGGCAAGGTCCGAATGGTTGAGACGGGCGCCCGGAACTCGGCCGTCAAGTCGACCGTGTCCAGCCACGCCCAGGAGGCGTCTGGTATGGAGCCGACAAGGGTTTGGGTCGGCGCGGCAAGGCTCACCTCGTCGTCCGAGGCCGGGACCGGGAGGCCAGGAGCGGCGGGGGCATTGGAAGGGTGGGGTGGATCTCGGCGACGTCGAGGACGGCGACGCGCCGGCGGCACGGCTCCGGCCAGTTCCGGCGCTGCGGGTGCGCGGAAGCGATCGGAGGCAGTGTTCAAGCGCGTGGCCAGCGCGAGCCCGCCGTAGAGTTGGAGGCACACTTCCTGGCCGGCGGCCTCGACGTACCCGTCCAGCCCGGCCAGGTGCCGGACGGCCCATGCAAGGTGCGCCTGGGCAGCAGAAGGGAGACTGCCACCTGCAGCGGTGAGGCGCGCGGCGGAGGTGGCGGGGCCAGGCGAAGGAGTGCCGGCTAAGGCAGCCGTGAGCCGTGCAAGGGAAACAGGGCCGGACGCTGCGAGGCGGGCGCGGCTGGTTTCCCACCAGTCGTCAGTAGGCGTGGCAGCGCGCCACGCGGCAAGAGCCTCCGCCGGCATGTCGCCGACAGCTGCCCAGAGGAGCGGCACGTAGAGCGACGAGTTCGCTGCGCCCTGGACCGGGCAGAGTGGCGGGCTGCGGCGTGCCCATGGAAGTGGTTGTGGAAGAGGCTCCGGGGGGCAAGGCGCGTCAGAGTCGCTGCCGCTGCTGCTGTCGACAGGCACGGCCGGCGCCGCGTGGGCGGCGTTGGCCCGAGGCGTGGGTGGGCGCGATCCAGCGTCGGAGTCGAGAAAGGGGTTGACTGCCAAGGCCGTGCACGCGTCAATGAGCTCGGGTGCCGCGCCGTCTGGCCAAGGTGCACGGCACAGGGAGCAAGCTGGGTCGGGCAAGCGGGCCACTGTGCGGGCGAGGCACGCAAAATGGTATGGATGGCGGCACCCGGGCCAAAACGCCGTACGTTGGCGCGGAGGGTCTGCAGGATGCAGCGGCTCAAGGCAAGTAGGACAATTGGGGAGGTCAGCGCCGCCGGCCGAGAGCGCCGGCGCAGGTGAGACGACGGGAGGCGCCGGAGCTGCCGGTGGGAACGGCGCTGGTGAAACTCTTGAACCAAAGGGATGCTGCGGACCACCCCCCCCCTGCGGCGCCGGTTGCTGCCAAGGCGCTTGTTGGTCATGTGCTTCGCGGCCGCTTGCCATGGCACGCCCGGCGCTGTGGTGTCTGTGCTCTGTTTTTTTTTTTGTGTGTGTGTTTTTTTGTTTTTTTGTGTTTTGGGTTTGGTTTTGATTTGATCCCCGGAGGTACGGAGATCGCTGGCCCCGGCTGCCTTGAAAAGGATGGGAAGGAGCGCCTGGAGGCCAGATGGGGAAGGGGGGGGGGAAGGGCGCGCCCTTGAAAAGGGAGGGGGCGAGTGCCTGTGCTGCCTTGAAAGTGCGGCGCACGAGGCGAGGAGGAAGGCAGCGGAGCTGCCTAACGCCGCCAAAGGCTGGCGGACGAGAAAGGGGACGGCCCAGCGGCAGCGAAAGGATTGGCCGCGAAGGGTGATGCGCTGCTGAATGGAGAAGCGCTGAGGATGGGCCCGGGCGCCGGCCGCGGCACCGCGAAGGCCGTGAGGGGGCGGCGAGAGGAGGGCCGGGGCCGAGAGGTGGCAGGCCCGGGGACAGCCGAGGCAGCGTGAGCACGCGCGCGGGCAACACGCTCGCGGACTTTCTTTCCCCCTCTGCGCCCCGGCCTGCGTCGCGAAGCCCCCGGAGTGGGAGCGGCGCGGCGAGGCCGGAGGCGGGCCCTGGGCGAGGGCGGCACCGCCGGAGTGGCAGGAGCAGAGGAGGGCGAGCGCGTGCACAAGCACGTGCGCGACCGGCGGGCCACGGACGGGGTGCGCCGGCGAGACGGCACTGAGGACGTGCCGGAGGCGCTGTCCGGGCTCGCCGCTCGCGGGGAGGCGGGCGCCGCAGGAGGCGCCGCCTCGGTTCCAGAGGCTGGCGCCGCTGCCGGGGTTGGCGGAGCGCCCTGCGGGGCCGGCGTGAGGGTACCGCCGAGAGTGGCCCACGCAGTGACGGCCAAACACACGTGTCTGCCGTCAGTAGCCCCCGGAACCTCGGTCCCCCCCAGAGAGAGTACGACCGGGTACATGAAGGCTAGGGGGCGGGAACCCCCTTGAGCCAAAATGGCTATGGTTGGTTAATGGGATGGTTCAGTATTTTTTTAGCTTACCACATTAATGATCATTAATGGGAATATCATATGATATAATGGTAAGCCCATAATGGGAATATCATATGATTATACATTATAACATGTAATGGGAATATAATTTGATATAATAATATTGCATAATGATATTGCATACAATGGATTACAATGGCACATAATATCAAAATATATCAAATACACCCAAGGCTGGCACACTTTCCTACACATACCATGCATCTGGCTGAACTATCATAATGTGCCATAGTTCATCAACATGTATAAAGCAAGGCAGGTGTTTCATGTGTTTCCCAGGCATCATCTACTCCGATGTCGTGGTGAGGTTGTTGGCCTGCAACTGTTCATCCCGGAAACGCATGGGCTTGCAATGGCCTGAGGACTATCCTGAGAAGAAAGAATTGGATAATATCGATGCAAGATGATCTTGCAGTTCGAAGAATGTGCATAGATGTATGATTCTGTGTGCTGTATGATTGTAATAGATTGTAACATGATGTATTATCTCAAGATTATCTCAAGAGAACTTCGCTGCCGAGGAACGAAATCCTTGAAAAGTTGGGCGACCACCCGCGGCTGCGAAACGCAAGCGTTCATGGCAGCACCGAAGACCACCGCATTGGGTGTGCGAACCTTGCGAGGGCACGGGGGATTATCATCCCATGGTTGGAACGGACAAATCAAACAAAAGGGGCAAAAAATAAACATGAAATGCAGAAGTGGATTCAAAATCAAGTTTGATTTACTTCAGAATTCAAAAGGAAAATAAAAGGAAAGAGGAAGGAAAGACAAAGAAAAGGAAACAAAGGGATACGAATTCAAATGTAAAGCACATAAACGGAACTCAGAATTAGATTTAAATTTAAAACTTGTTTTATATTTAATTCAGAATTCGGTTGCATTTAGTTGAGTGTAGTTCTACTGCTTTGGGACCTGGGAGATAGAAAACAACTGCCTGCAGAAAGCAACGGTTCAATCACCTTGGACAACAATGGTATGGCAACCGCAAGAAACATTGGCACTGCAGGCTGAATTTTCTTCATCAATTTTGCCCATCGCGTGAAGGCACACAACAATATTTGCTTTGTTTACACACCAAGGTTAATGCACTCTCATATGGTTACAAGTTATCGTTTTTGGGGGGGCCTATCGCTTTACATGGTTTGGTGCACTTTCTCAACACAACTGAACCCTCCCTTACTAAAGTAGTCTACTCTTATTTTGACCACATCTCATATGAAAAATCCATCATTTTTTATAGATATGAACATATGGGAAACTCCTGTGATATGAAAATATGGGAGACTCCGCTTTTATAATTAATTTCCCAGTCTAAATCCCCTCAATCATATTAATCACTCAAACCATCAGAGTCACAAAATGTCACAAATATGTGATTGAAACCACCAACATAACTCATTAGCTACTGAAATTACCCATGAATGATCCCAGATGAATCCCCTTTCAACAGTTCTACCAGTCACAGTTATATCACTTAAATCCCAAGATGAGGTCCCCCCGTTAAAAAGTTGCTTTATCAACCCCACTGACTGCTTTGTCATATCCCCCATAAGCCATAGTCAACCAAGTTCTTTCGTCAACTTAAATCAGCTTAAAAAAACAATGAAATCCCCCAGTTTTGTCAGTGAAAATTACATTTTCCCAGGGTTTCTTGGGGGGCCCACCTTCCGTTTCCGTTTCCAAGGCGCTTCTGCCATCATTTTGAGCACCTTCCGCCATGGCGCCGACGGCGCCTTAGCGATGGCCGCGATCATCGCACTGACCACGGAGGACGACTTCGACGCAGTGATGGCTAGGGCAGCCTGGGAGCTGCGGGGACCTAGCCAAGGACAACCATTAATGGCTACAATGTGAGGCCCCACAGTTATAAGTTGGTTTATAAGCCCCAGTAACTATAGTTATAAGTACCATAAACCATAGCTATTGGAGTTATAAACCAACTGAACGCTATCTTGGGGGCCTCACATTGTAGCATATGGTTACCATCTGATAAGAAAAAAGGGTGCTGAAGTCATGGGGGATCCATGACAAGTCACCGGTTTCAATTCTAATTCATGATCTAATGGCTTGGATGATTTTTTTGGGCACACATTTTTGCTACTAAATATTTAATGGACACACGTTGTAAATCAATGTAAACCATATGATTCATGACAGTATCTTGTTTTCGAAAGATTTTCATAAACCGCCTGTTCGACCAACTGGAAATCAAATTGCCGATCCTCTTAAGTTAATTCTATACAGTTGCATTGTATCAATTTGTTTGGGCCTGACCCCCTAATTCACCAACCTTCGGCTTCATTCAACGTTGACAGTACCGTCCATGCACCTACGTCATGTACTGAATACCACAGTTGCGGGGCAAATATACGGAGGGAAACGCAGGAAGTTCGAGTGCCTTGAATGGGAAAAAATGGTAACCAATGGTAGTCAATGGTCATTTTCACCGTATTGGATGGCAATCAGGCAAATCAATCCAGCTGGCTCCGATGCCAAGGCCCCAGTACCCACACAACCACCGATGGCAAAGCGTCTTGCCACGCAGCGGAACTGCTACAAACAGAAATGGCCGCAGAGCTGGTGATGATGTCGATCTCCAAGCCTCCAGTGTTGCCATGTCTTGCCAGTCCGCCCCGAAAATCAGGATGTTGATGGAATTTCTACGTTAAAACAACATGTACCCTCTGGTTATGACTAACAGTTCGCCATGGAAAATCAACATTTTTAATAGGTAAACATAGGTAAACCATCTATTTCTATGGGCCATCTATACCATGGCTATGTTAAATAACCAGAGGGTAAATTTAAGTTATATATGAAGGTGCGCATTGAACAACACTGCAGCGTCTAGCAGAACTGTACATAAGGGTGGTGCACAGCACATGTACATCAATCCCGTGTTCCCATGCAGGAGGATGTGTGAATAAAGCACGAGCAAAGGCAAGTCATGACAGCACATGGGTTTGACTGAAAAATATATAGTTTTGCGGATTTTTTTTGTCCCCAACAAATCCACTGGTTGCCCTCTGGCAATTCTATATGGACACTTCACCATTGTAGTTTGTTTATCATCCAATTGCCCATTTACAGTGAGATTTCCCCTATTTCATCGTCCGAACTTGGCTGATCCTGCCCATTTGCCCCAAATTTCAGCAACATTCGACACGCCAAACGCCACGCCAAAGCCGCCTTCAGTGGCCACGTGCTCCAGCCTCTGTTGCGCCATCCACCAGTCGCCAACGCCAGCAACACAGGCGCCCAGGGTGATGAGATCTGCCCGGAGCCCAGCCTCGGAGACGGTTTTCAGAGATGGATTTATTGGGTTAAAAACGGTGTTTTCAGAGATGTTGATATTGGTTTTAATGGTTGTTAATTGGTTTTTAATTGGTTTTAATAGGTTTATGTCTTAATGGATTTTAACGGTTGTTATATGTTGTTATATGTTTTTTGTTTTAATGGTTTTAACGGTTTTTAACGGGTTTCAATGTTTTTTCGGAGTTGTCAACAGTTGCTGGACCTTGGATAATGTTAAGCCCTTGATGACCGGTGGAGGGAAAAAAAAACTAATGTATCATCTGGTATCGGTATAAGTAACATTAAGTAACTAAGGCAAAGGATGGCAAAGGTACATGCCACATTTATAGCTGGCCTAAAGGTTCCTTTTTTTACTGAGGTTAGTGATTGATGACATGCCACAATTCCCAACATATCACCAGAAGCCGCAGAAGCTATCTGACCTGACAAGTCATCACCCCGCCTGTAACATCTGCAGGGCACATCTCCAGTTGCTGGTGGCAACTGCGCCCAAGGTCACTCTGTCCGGCTGCAGATCTTCGAGGCGCAAAGCGTTACCTGACCATCTGTCAGACTACAACGTTTTGCATCAGCCAAGTTTTGCATAGCAACAATGGGGAATCCACACCGCAGCAGTGGTTTATTCACCAGACACTAAGTGAAATGATCCTGATCCATCAAGCTGTGAACCGTGAGCCTTGTTGTATGGCCATGCTCCATGGGATGCTTTTCAAGCTCAAGACCTCGACAAAGATCCAAAAGTGCTCGGAGAAAATTAACAGGCAGCTTTACAACATCTGTGGGAACTGAAATGCCTCAGCAGAAACAACTGTACACGTGGACAGGAACATCATAGAGATTCATAGGGCATCAGGAGATATTTGATACAAAAATGTACAAAATCAACATATACGTTCTACACCTGGGACTACGTGACCACTGAAATAGGAATGCCGAAATCTTTTTACGGTGGGATATATTGGGATCGCCTCACCACCACCCAGGATGTCAGCAATGATTTTTGCAATCGATACCCGGAAACGTGTGGTTGGTGCAAGTTGCTGGTACATAAATGGCTGGTGATTCACGATCTTGACATATTTTGACGATTCCTGGGCTTAAACATGCTTTCCAGATTCAGATTTCATACTCGGCGCTTAAACATGGTTTCTGGCAAGCTATCTCCATGTCGGGGCGGCCCCTTCTACACCATGACTAATGGTTGGTTCCACCATGTTCCACGATCCAAATCATCGTAAACCAAGTGGCCGAATTGAAGAGCACCAGGTTCACTCGCAACAAACCTGGCAGGCGAATGGTGGCTCTTGGTGTTGTTCTTGCTCTGTTGTTGATGATGATTTATCATGGATTTATCATAATATATCATGATATGTTGATGTGCTAAGCTGCTAAGGGTTGCTCTTGGGACTTGCACACCAAAACGCCGGAGCTTGGGGCTACTCAACATCCACGAGTTGATCCTCATTTTTCCTATGAAAATCGTATATTAAAATTGCACGAAAGACTTGCCCTTTAGCACTTTACGCATGCGTAGGCCATTTCTAGACAGACCCATCTTATGATTTTATGACTGGAAAAACGGTTGTCATTTCTCGACAAGACATGAGAAAGGAGCCTACCCTCAGACGCCGCAACAGCTGCTGTGAGTGTTGCCACCTCTGGCACGCGGCAATGGCCTGCAGCCCGCGCACACAATGGCCGGAACCATAGTCCCTTCCTTCTAAGATTGCAGGAACCCCCAACGAAAATGGGAGTCAAATAGTTACCAAATACACTTACTTTTCTATTTTTTTGGGGGCTGCTGTACCGCAAATACCCCAAACCCTGGTTTAGCACTGACTTGGTTTCATGAAGCTTGCGCCTCAAAAACAAACACGCACACACACACACACACACTTGGATACACCCCGAAGGGGGAAGATGAAATGAGATGAAATGAATCGTCACAGGTGGCCATCATGTATGCAACATTACCTTGCTACCTACCCTAGAAAACGCATGACATGACATGATAAACGGCAAGCCGGTTCTTGGGTTAGCCGGATCCCATACAGAGAGCAGGTACAGGTTCATGCGTCCATGAACCCTTCCACCACTTCCATAGCTTCGTTGGGCAACATACGAAGATGGGCTGTTGCCCCCCTGCTGGTACCCTTTGATTCAAGGCTTTCCACACACAGTAAGCCGCTGGGGCACGATCTTGCGAACCAGAAAATGGTCCTTAATCTTGCGTGCTGTTTTCCACGGTGCTGTGTTGTGACATGGAACATGGTGCTCAAATGTCTGTGACGTTGTGTTGCTTGCTCCAACACAAAACCAAGGGAAGTTTCATGGCGTTCAGCGCAAGTTCCACGGAAAAGACCGATAACGGCAAACCACTGCATCAGAATTTCTGGCTGTTCAGCAAGCAACCAACGACCGACAAAAAAGGCTGGTAACGGCATGGTGTTTCCCTCAGTGCTGGGTTGTGACATGGAACGTGGTGCTCAAATCTCTGTGTACATGGGTGTCACCAATGAGGTGTGGTGTCTTGCCAGCTCCAACAAAAACCAAAGGAAGTTTCACGGCGTTCAGTTCAATTTCCACTGAAGAAGGCTGACAAAAGCAAACCACTGCGTCAGAATTTCCGGCTGTTCATCAAGCAACCAACGACCGACAGAAAAGGCTGGTAACGGCATGGTGCTGTTTCTCTCAGTGCTTGGTTTTGACATGATTGCTAGGTGAACATGAATCGTGGATGACACGTTGAAATCTGGGGATGAAAAATCTGAATAGAGTTCTGAACATGTAATCTGGCGAATTCTGAGAAATTCTGCTTCTGCTGGAGACTTCTGGATGCTTGTGCGAACTTTGCTTCTGGCAACATGATGTCTGGTAAATTTTGAAGTAATCTGGTATCCCCGGTGGACGCACCACCAAGCTTCCCCGGCACTTTATCAGAGATGCGGGCGCATGAAAAGACACACTTGGATACACCCCGAAGGGAGAAGATGAAATGGGATGAAATGAATCGTCACATGTGGCCATCATGTATGCAACACGACCTTGCTACCTACCCTAGAAAACGCATGACATGACATGATAAACGGCAAGCCGGTTCTTGGGTTAGCCGAATCCCATACAGAGAGCAGGTACAGGTTCATGCGTCCATGAACCCTTCCACCACATCTTCCATAGCTTCGTTGGGCAACATAGGAAGATGGGCTGTTGCCCCCCTGCTGATACCCTTTGATTCAGGGCTTTCCACACACGCACACACACACCAAGAGCAAAGGGTGACACACAAAAAGGCGAGGTGCCTTTTTTGGGGCATCTCATCAGCGTCCCTTTAAGGTTCAAAGAGAAACATCAGAAACGCCAGAAATGCCGACAGCCACCAGACCCCATCTCTCCCATGAGTTCTCCAAGTCGCAGTGCCATAAGCCTGGCAGGGAATGAAAGATGATGCAGTCCAAAGTCACCAAATTTCTTTCGAAACCAAAAGATACGAGTTGAATCCCAACTCAATCAAACGCACTGCTGTGGGATGGAAAGGTCGAGTTCAGTCCGCTTTTACCCTGTTTTACCTTCACTTTCTCGAGGTGTACCCGGCCCGACGACCCAGCTACGAAGCCAAGGAGCGATGGGGTCAGCGGGCCCCAGCTGCAACAACTGCTGCAAGTGCTCCAGAGCTTCTGTCCAATCCCTGGATGCCTGGCCGATCACCGCTGGCACCGTAAAGGGGGGGAAGGTGTTGAATCCCAATGTGTCAAGCCATCTGCCCCCCCAAAAAAAACACTCTTGGGGATAAAATATGATCAATAGATAAAATATGATATGTATATATATATATACAAATATAAAATCACGTTTTGCCAAAGAAAACAGGCACGAAGGGAACATAATGGAACTATCTTATGCACTACGCCTTGATCCTCCTGGTATACGTCACTGTTGTCTTCTCTGCTGGCGTCCTGGGGTCCGACAAATGTAGGGGTTGCTGCAGCCCCCCATCATCCAATTTCGGTACAACCAATCCCAGGGGCTCGGGGATGTACAATCTTCATGGGTCCAAGTGTGAGCCCCACATAATTTGGGAGAAAAACCTGATATCACCATCAACCAATTAACCACAAGAGGTGTCAGTAACTAGTAAGAACATGTAAGAACAAAAGGCCACGGAACAGAACAAGAGTAAACAGATAGCCCCATCAAATACTGCAAAGATTTTAGATGTAGGCACTTGTAGGCACTTGTAGGCACTTGTAGGCACTATCAAAATGTGTTTGTATCAAGGGTTTGCATATAGGAACTTCTATTGGGATCGTGTCCTTTTTCGCAGTTTCTTCGACATCCATCAGCCATAGATCCACTAGAGGTCGGCTCATCCCGCACAATCCAGAAAAACTCAGGGCACACTGAGCCAGGGCAGCTGCTGGATAATGATAGTAACAGTGTTGGATATGTTTTAATAGATGGAGCTTCCCAACAAATAAATATAAGGTCATGGCGTGAAATCTGATGACATGTCTCAAATTCAGATTCCCGTTATTTTGCATGATGTTTTTGTGGGCGTTTTTTGCGGACTCATATGGACTTAATTATAAATATGCAAAGATCCTACTCATAGACGACTATGAGCATTCAGATATGTGGGGAATGTGGAGGGAAGCATCGTTCAGATCCTGTCGAAGGCTAGGCTGGTACCAATTGTGATTTCATGGTCGATCACACTTTTGGAAGTACGCCGTGAAATTGATGAATCCGGGGTTGACAGTATAAGTTATGTATAATATGTATATATATATATATATATACACTGTTACTGGTTGGTGGTATACCTACACCTCTGAAAACTATGAGTGAAAGTCAGTTGGGATGATGAAATTCCCAACATATGGGAAGTCATAAAATTCATGTTCCAAACCACCAATCGGTATATATATATATATTATATATAATATAATATAATATAATATAAAATAATATAATATAATATAAAATAATATAATATAATATAATATAATACAATATAATATAAAATAATATAAAATAATATAAAATAATATAAAATAATATAATATATATATGTGTGTGTATTATAATATATATATATAAATACTGAATGATGATCCAAAATCCAAAAGGTTTATGTTCGTCCCCAAGGATGAAACCCCCGTTGCGCACTGTGTGGCGTCGCCACGCCGTCGATGTCGAAGAATCCCGCGCCAGGCAGCCGGGGGCCGGCCATGAACTCCGCCTGGTGGAAGAGGGAACCCGTGGATGAACGTAAAATTGGAAAACTGAAAAACAAAAGCATCGTCTTCACATGTTCAGGGATTTTTTGTTTGTTAAAAAAATCGGGGAGGTTACTGTCATCATATACTATATCTTAGATCATCCTGAAACAAGGTCGTTTTAGGATATGTTCGGATATGTTCGGATGATTCTCCCTAAAAATCACTGTCGAAA